ATTGTCCACGCTTCTGAAGTTTTCTTAAATTGGATCTAAATTTGGAAGCTGCTTTATTGTGGTTCTTAAAAGAACTGTCTTGGAAATTAAGCTTGAATTTCGCTATTTCAAAGAAACCCAGAGTCTTCCACCTGCTTTATATTTTCTTTGCCCCCCTCCACCCCTCCTCCTAATCCAAATTTTACCCCAAACTGCAATGAACAGGCTGCTAGCCTCATTGCGGCTGCTGCCGGGTTTGTCTGTGCAGACGATGTTCACTTCATCTCTAATCAATTCTATTTATGTTCTCCTGAGAGGTCTATTTTTAGTGAAAGCCGCTGGATAAATGCGAGTGGTTAATTATTATAATATTATTATTGTACGGCCAATTCACTTTACAGTGCTGTGAAGCGCTTTGAGACGTCTCGAAGACGTGATAAGGCGCTATAATCAACTGCAGGGATTATTATTATTATAACATGATGGTTGTGTGGGTCAAACCAGGTCAGGGTTTCAGTGCTCAGATTGTCTATCGCTGTTGGGAGAGCATGTGTGTGTCTGCTCTCTGTGTGCCTCGCGCGTGCTCTCTCTCTCTCTCTGCTGTTTTGGTGAAAGATACCATGTTCTGCGAGACAGTGGGCGAATGCTATTGATGCCCTCTGATATGCCATGGTTAGATTATGTATTCCATGCCCCCACACCCCACACCCCCCACCCCCCACTGCCACCATGGCAGACTTGGTGTGAAATCACAGTGCATTGATTCCAACAGAGAAGCTGGTGGAGTGGGTGGGAGGTGAGGGGTGAAGAGGTCTGAAGGTGCAAAATAACATTATCACCACAGGTTACGAGTTCGGATGCGGTTTATGTGTGAACATCAGATGGCAGAACAACAGGTTGGGAGTAGGTCAGAAGCGACTGGAAATGGGATCGACATCTCGTTCATTTCACCTCCCACCCCCCACCCCCACCAAACTTCCCACCACCCCCACCTCTCGTTCCCTCGCTCAGTTGGTGACAGAGTTGGGTTGAATCGTCCTTTTAGCCCTTCTGCCCAACTCTCTGGAACTCCAAGCCAGAATCCCTCCACTTCACAACCCTTCCCCCACCACTCTAAGCCTTTTTTTTGGCTATCTTACCCTCCTCACGGCAAGTCGCATCAGGCTTAGATTTTCTTTGCCTTTCCCTCTCTCTCTTTCTCCCTGCCTTTCTCTCTTTCCCTCTTTCTCCCCTCCCTCTCTTACTGTGTCCCCCTCTCCCTTTGCCCCCTCGATCTTCCCCCTTTCTCTCTTACTCTGACCCCCTCCCTCTCTCTCAACCTCTCTCTCCCTCCCTCCAAGTCTCTCTCACCCCCACTCTCTCCGACTCATCTAACTGATATTACCCCCACCTTCCCCCAATCTCAGTGGAGATTTGTGCAAGGTAAGACGTCAATTAATTAGTGACACGGTTTAATACGTGGAGGCGCATAGGTTTTTTTTATTTTTAAAAGGCTGTTTCTATGGCAACTGAAGCAGTTGCCAGGGAGAGAGAGAGACGTCCGCATATCGTGGGGGGGTGGGGTAGAGTGAGGGGAGGTGAGGAGGGGGAAGAATCTCTTTAGCGGCTGGAAGGGGGGAATGTACGTTAGATTCACTGTGCGTTGGATTCACAAGTTGAGTGTGGTGGGGTTTGGGGATGGAAAGGGGGATGGGAGCCAGATAGAGAATGCTGACTCCATGGCCACAGCAGGAGATGCTCCAGGGGGAACTGTGTGTTTATAAAAGCCCCGAGTCCATCACGCCAGAGGGTGTGGGGCGGGGAGAAGACCTTAACATTGTCTGCAAGTTGTCAGAGCACGGAAATTCACATCTGAAATAACCGTTGAAGTTGGATTGGAAATAGCATTTCATGGAACATAAGAACATACGAATTTGCTGGCGAAAGAAGACCAAGATCCATCTCGTGTACCTTCCACCATCCCGGCAGTCGCTTGACATGTCGTTTCCCCAAACTATATACTGTATCTCGAGAGATTATTTTCCAGCAGAAATCTATCTAATTTGTTCTTGAAACAAATGACATTTTCTGCTTCCACCATCTGTTTCCCTAGGGAGTCTCTGCCATAAGTTTACCACTTGCTCACTGAAGTAGTGCTTCCGCAGATTTTCTGAATTTTACCCCCCTTCAATCGCAAGCCATATCCTCTGGTTCTACTGTTCAGTACAAGATAAAACAGCTTATCATGGTCTACATTATCTATTCCCTTCAGAATCTTAAAGACAGTAATCATATTGCCCTCAACCTTCTCTTCTCCAGTATGAACATGCCCAGTTTATCCAATTGCTCCTCATAGTCCAGTCCCTCCATCCCCTCAATCATTTTGGTTGCCCTCCTCGGTATCATTGGATAAATAGTTTCAGAAATAAAGCTCAGATGGGGCACGAGCAACAGCATGATGGGGAGCGAGAGCAGGGGAATGGGATTTCGCCCACAAAGTATAGTCAATTCTCTTTACAGTATATTCGTTGAAGCGCTTTGAGACATCTAGAAGACGTGATAAGGCGCTGTGTCAAATGCAAGTATTATTATTAGAGTGGAGAACTTCAGTGGGGGAATGAGCATCAGCAGAGATACGATGGGGAGGAAAGAGGAGGGGAATGGGGTTCCAGATAAGGCCAAAGGGCCTCCCTATTAATTGTTGCAGCAATTGTGTCTGGTCACCAGGTGTTGATGGTGAGCTGTGTGAACCTGCCCTGTCTCCAATCACCGGCTCTGACTCTCTGCCAAGGTGATGAGTTGCTCCTCCAGTTTTTAACCTGAACTTCTCCGCTGATTTGATACAGCGCCTCGTCACATCTCCTAAACGTCTCAAAACGTGTCACAGATACACTGCAACGTGAATTGACTTGTATGTTTTGCGGGCGAAAGGCGGCAGCCAATTGCACACAGCAGCGTCTCACAAACAGTCGTGGATTAAGCGACCAAATTATGAATATTATTATTAGTTCTGTTCCAGATCTATTATTAGATCATGTTCTGGCAGATATATTTAGAGACTGGCTGAAAAGATTGAGATTGTGCCCCCAAACCCTGGTTTCTCCCCCTGACTCTGATGGTGGTGGGGGAGGGGACACGGAGTGATCCCCTGGAATATCAGAGACCCAGCTCGACCCCAGTGGGAAGATCTTCCTTCTGTTCTCAAGAGGGCTCCTAAGTGGATAGGAGTGGGTGTTTGTTGTGATAAGTCTGTGCCGGGGAATTAAATTGAGCGTAAAAGCCGTCTCACTGGCTCAGTGTTCCTTCTCTTCTCCGGTCCATTATACCCCATGTCTGGTGATCAATCAACCGGGCTCTGTGTATCGGTGACTCTCGTTCCATGCAAGAGAGAGTAGGTGGAGAGCTTCATTGATGATGTATAGCTCAGCTTCTTGTTCATTCATCACTTTAAAAAAAATCTTCAATTCCCTCTTGCCTCTTGCTCCTCTCTCTCTCTCTCTCTCTCTCTCTCTCTCTCACTCTCTCTTTCTCATGCTTTCAGCCCACTAATGCCCCCGAAACTTTGGAACTCTCTCCCCCAATCCCTCCGCCCTGTCCCCTCCTTCCCCTCGGTTATTTCACGACCGAAGACTTTCCTCTTCGACCGTGCTGACGGGCACCTCCTCCCTCGGCGTCAGGCTCCGCCACAGTTAAGCGCTCTGAGACACTGCCCGGCGCGGAGGGCGCTGTGCAAATGCAAGTTGTTCTTGCCGTCTTCAGAAGCCTCCTAAGCACCATATTCTCTTTGGGCATCCGCGCCCTTCAATTCTCCATCTGAGTTGTTGTAAAAAGAAAAGCTTTGCATTTGACGCAGTGCCTTTCAAAGTCAGAGAGACCTCTCAAAGCACTTTGCGGGACATACTGCAAAATATAAACGACTATCTAGGCTGTTGTTCCAGCACAGTGCTGGTGGGAGGAGGGAGAGCACTGTATTAATAGAGAAGCCGTCCTTCTGATGAGACGCTAAACCGAACTCGGAAAGGCATTAAGAGGCCAGGACACTGGACTCGTTTAAAATAGCAGCTTTGCTGCTGTGATGGGAGGACGCTGAGATGGGATTGAAAAAGCTGAAGGTCTTCTTCATCTGCCCCTCCCACCGGCTCACTGATAAGGGCACAGTTCAGGTACCAGTGACGTCAGGAGCTCTGTAACAATAGGACTGACCGTCCTCCCACAGTGATAAAAACAGATGCCGTTAAACGCGTGTTTTAATGGACTTTTTGGATCACGAGCAGGAGGCTGGCGAGGGTACATCACACACAGCCTCGTGTGCAGAAATGTATTCTGCGTTTTAACCCCGAAATGCCATTAATCCCAGTGACAGCTGCTGCTTGTTGCTTGTTAGAAATGCTGACAGCTCATCCCTCTTTCCAATGCGCTTCCGTGGCAGTGTGTGTGCGCGTGTGAGTCTGTGTGTGTGTGTGTGTCTCTCCACCTCGGGAACTTTAAATTCACGTAGTTTAGGCTGAAAATCCAGTGCGGTGGTGGTGGTGGTGTGTGGTGTGTGGGTGAGGGGAGGCTTCATTGTCGGAGACGCTATCCTTCGGCTGAGATGCCAAACCAAGGTCTCGTCTCTGCCTGTTCAGGTTCATGTCGATCTCGTGACAGTACTGGAAGGGAGTTGCTCTCTCCCAGTTTCCTGGTTAACGATCCTCAAAATAAAATTGGTCACTCACTTCGCATAGCTGGTTGTGGGACATCGCCCTCTTTGAACTCCCTTTTCTTTTCAAATAGCGTCACGGGACATTTAACGTCCACCTGAACAGGTGAGACCGGAGCCGGTTTAACACCTCATCTGAAAGTCTGCACCTCCTACGATGCAAGGCAGCCCCCAGCAGCCCATTGAAGCGTTGCCGTGGGGCTTGAACCCACAAACTTCCTGACTCTGATACGAGAGGGCTACCAACTGAGCCAGGCTGTCACCCAATGGCCAGCGATGTTCTCACGATTTTCCATATTCATTTTTTTTCCCCCCTCTTTGTTCCCCCCCACCCCACCGGCAGTATGTACAGTACGATGTCAAGCGTTCCTCATTTCCAAAGTGGGAGAAGACTGGATCTTCCTGATTCTGCTGGGATTGCTGATGGCTTTAGTCAGCTGGGCGATGGACTTTGCAATCGCCATGTGTTTACAAGGTAAGAACTTCTTGGTTATGTCTAGTTATGGTTAATTATGTCTCGTTCATTGTGGAAATTTTGCTAGTCTCTCTTTTTTTGGGGGGTGGTCAGCCGGGTGTCTGACATGTGGAAACCTGTAACCGTGTGCAAAAATTAGCTGCTACATTCGTCTACAAAACTCCAGTCCTCTCACTTTACAGTCAATTCTTCTGAAGCGTTTTTGAGATGGCCTCCCAACTTCAAAGATGTTGCCACGGTCCTGTAGTTTAGTGGTTAGAGCACTCGCCTCGCGAGCAAGCGGACCCGGGTTCGATTACCAAGCAGGGCAAAATCTTAGGGAAGTTTCCTTACTCCACACGCCTCTGTTTATCTAGCAGTAAGTAGGAACTCAGTTGTTAGTCGATTGGTGGATCGCTTTCCAGGATTAATGATCCCTCCAAAAAAAGTAATCCCTCCAGCATTTCTCCCACAAAACACACAGCTAATCCCTAATACAGTATATTCTGGTACTAATATATATGTGTGCTTTGAGAAGGATTCTGAAAGGCAGGGTGTTGGGGGGAGAGAGCACGAGGTGGTGGGATTGAAGGAGCGGGATCCAGAGAGCCGGCAATGTCTCTGTTATTATTCAGATGGTGCAAGGCTGACATTTAGGAGGCGTCACTGTAGGAGGCTTGAAGGAAATATGGAAATCACAGCAAAAGTGTCCCTCGCACAGTGTGTTGTCACCGTGTGATAGAGCAATAACAGTCTCGTCTTGTAGCAAAGCACAAAGTGTGATCCCAAACCCATATCTAATCTCTTGGCACTTAAAGAAAACATTCACAGATGTTTTCTTTTCCACAGGAGATGTCAAGTGATTGAACTTTCACAAGCAGCACAGCATCGTGTCTTTGCTGGTGCTCGCTCCCCCACTGGAGCTCTCTACTCTAACCCTATTCCCTGCTCTCTCCCCATCGTGTCTGTGCTGGTGCTCGCTCCCCCACTGGAGCTCTCTACTCTAACCCTATTCCCTGCTCTATCCCCATCGTGTCTGTGCTGGTGCTCGCTCCCCCACTGGAACTCTCTACTCTAACCCTATTCCCTGCTCTCTCCCCATCGTGTCTGTGCTGGTGCTCGCTCCCCCACTAAAACTCTCTAACCCTATCCCCTGCTCTTTCCCTCTCTCCGCCCACCACCCACCCCTTTGTCGTATATTATCAGTTTCTAAATGAATTAACATGAATTTTTCCTATCTCCCATCGGCAGCTCAGAAGTGGATGTATGGGGGGCTGAGGCACAATGTCTTCCTGCAGTACCTGGCCTGGGTCACGTACCCCATCGTCCTCATAACCTTCTCAGCCGGATTTGTGCAGATCATCGCCCCTCAGGCCGTAGGTAAGCGCTCTGAGACGCTGCCCCGTGTGAGGGAGCTTTATCAATGCAAGTGGTTGTTGCAGGTACCTGCTGCCAGGCTTGTGATGTGGGAGCGCTAGGGACTGCACAGCTCGAGAGTCCAAGTCAAGATGGTGGCCAGAGGATGTTACACCATCAACAGGAACACATCGTTCACACCACCAGCATCACCAGCACCACCAAATCTAAGAGATTTAACGCCACACAATGAGGCTTCATCACTTTCTTGTCCTTCGGTCGAAACCTTAAACCGAGCTCCCCGTCTGCCTGTTCAGGTGGACGTTCATGATCACGTAGTGCTATTCGAGAAGAGAAGGGAGTTTTTCTCTCTCTCTGTCTCTGTCTCCCGGTGTCCTGCCTAACAATCCCCCAAACAAAACTGGTCGCTCACTCCACGGCTGTTTGTGGGACACTGCTGTGCGCAATTGTCTGCCAAGTTTCACCCCCACAGATACATACAGTCACTACACTTTACAGGATATTCTGTGAAGAGCTTTGAGACGTCCCAACGACACAATATCAAATGTGTTAACCTGCGCTTTCTCTGTGTGACCTCGACATGTTCTCCGTTTAGACGCTAATCAGCGCTAAGCGCTTAAGCCGGGCATTAACAGTGACCGTTGGAAGGAATCTGTGGCTGTTTAGCAGCAGAGCCGCTGCCTGAGGAGAAATGGAGGAGCTGAATGGTGGAGGAGCATGTGCGTGTGTGTGTTTTACCCCCGTGTGAAAGCGTTAACCAACGGCGTGTTACTGTTTGTGTTTTGCCAGGTTCTGGGATCCCGGAGATGAAGACAATCCTGAGGGGGGTGGTGCTAAAAGAATACCTCACTTTAAAAACCTTTCTGGCCAAAGTGATTGGCTTAACGTGCGCTCTGGGCAGCGGGATGCCCTTGGGAAAAGAGGTCAGAGCCTTTTGTCACACCACCACCACAACAACTTGCATTTACACCGCGGGCTTCAGCGTCTCGGAGCGCTTAACGGAGGCAGAGCCTGACACCGAGCCGGGGGGAGGCGGGGGGTGGGTAGGTGGGGCGGGGGGAGCTGACCATAAGGATGATCGAACAGGAAGGTCTTCAGGCGTGATCTGAAAAAGGGCAAGGAGCAGGCAAGGAGGGGGGATTCAGTTGAGTTCCAGAGTTTGGCGGTGTAGTGGTTGAAAGCGCGGCCTCCAATGGTGGAGCGGAGGGAACGAGGGACCAACAGGAGGACAGAGGCAGCCCAGCGAAGGGAGGAGGGGGAACAAATTGTCATTGGGTCTAATTTACTGATTCCTAGAGTCTCTCTCTCTCTCTCCACAGGGCCCCTTTGTCCACGTGGCGAGTATGTGTGCCACCTTGTTAAGCAAAGCCATGTCGCTCTTCGGTGGAATCTATGAGGTAAGAGACGAGAGTGTGTGGATGGTGGGGGGAAACCTGTGCTTTGCGATTGAGGGGGTGGGAGGGTTGAGGCCAGGACACTGGGACTCGCTCACAGAGGATCTGGATGTCAGGGGTGGGCGGTGGAACCGGGCAACAGTGGACGGAAGAGATGAAACAGTCCCAAGGCCCGTTTTCTTAAGAATCTCTCCGAGGAGGATGAGGGTAACCCTCGCAGTGTGTGAGGACCTTTACGATCAACACAGCGGCCGTCACCTGGGAATAATAAAGGTCTGGGAGTGCCCCGCGGCACTTCACAACAAAGCGTAGTGACTGTATTGATCGGTGAAGGTCTAAAACATTGGGATGGTTTGGATTGGGGGGTGGGGGTGGGGGTTGGGAGAGGAGGGGTCATTTCTGCACGGTTCCCAGCGATGGCAGGTCGGGTTAATCGGAATGACGGGCTGGTCGCTGGTTTCAGGGCATTTTACTGTGAGTGACGAGTGCCTTGGCCTGAGGGGTGGGGGAGTAGGGGAGGGGGTAGTTGATCATTCAGTGACTATGGGGAAGGCTGGAGCCAGTCTGTGTCCTGCCATCGCCAGGGTGTCTGACCGATACATCCCAGCGAGTGGAAACTAATGTCTTCGCCATCTGTTTGCCCAGAAGCCTCGATGCCTCATGTGGTGCTGTGTTTGTGAATCTCCGTGATCCATGCTCTGCTTTTCCACCTCCAGCACCTAGTGTGTTAGCGTGCGTGTGTGTGTTAGCGTGCGTGTGTGTTAGCGTGTGCGTGTGTTAGCGTGCGTGTGTGTTAGCGTGCGTGTGTGTGTGTTAGCGTGTGTGTGTGTTAGCGTATGTGTGTGTTAGCGTGTGTGTGTGTGTTAGCGTGTGTGTGTGTGTTAGCGTGTGTGTGTGTGTTAGCGTGTGTGTGTGTGTTAGCGTGTGTGTGTTAGCGTGCGTGTGTGCGTGTTAGCGTGCGTGTGTGTTAGCGTGCGTGTGTGTTAACGTGAGTGTGTTTATGTTAGTGTGCATTAGTGTGTGTGTTAGTGTGTGTGTGTTTTAGTGTGTGTGTTTTAGTGTGCATGTGTGTTAGCGTGTGTGTGTGTTAGCGTGCGTGTGTTTTAGCGTGCGCGTGTGTGTTAGCGTGCGTGTGTGTGTTAGCGTGTGTGTGTGTTTATGTTAGTGTGCATTAGTGTGTGTGTGTTAGTGCGTGTGTGTTTATGGGTGTGTATCAAACACAGGCTCTATCTCCCTGGCCAACAGCCCCTTCCTCCAGATTAACAGTATTTTGTGGGACATTGCTGAGTGCAAATTGCCTGCCCTGTTTTCACTACATGTTACAGTAAATCCTGTGGCACTTTTGAGAAGTTCTCCTGACATGAAAGACGTTTCTAACTCTGTCTGTGTGTCAGTGTGTGTCTGTGTGTCTCTCTGCCTGTCTGTTTGAGTATGTGTCTTAGTATCTGTCTCTCTGTTGTGTGTGTGTGTACATGTGTGTCTGTCCCCTTTTGTGTGTGTGTGTGTGTAGGTATCTCTCGGTCTGTCTGTTCTTCTCTCTACTCGTCTGTCTTTGTGTATTTGTGTGTCTCTCTCTCTCTGTTCGTGTGTGTGTGTGTCTGTGTGTGTGTCTCACTTTTTGTGCATGTGTGTCTCTGTGTGTGTGTGTGTGTGTGTGTGTGTAGATGAGAGCGTATGTGTTAACCGTGGTGTTTCTTCGCTGTGTTTAGAATGAATCCAGGAATATTGAGATGTTGGCAGCTGCCTGTGCTGTGGGTGTTGGCTGTTGCTTTGCAGCACCGATAGGAGGTAAGAATCTGCTCCTTATTTATGAGACTCTGTACCCGCAATCACCAGCCACCTGGCGGGCTAGTGTTTGCCAATAGCCCTGCCCATCGCACTCTCGTTAAGAAATAATAAGATTAAAATTGTCTGTATAGGACTTGGCATTTCACCAGCTTCGGGGTCAACCATTTCCCCAAAGATGAACGGATGTGCTCTCTTCCCTGTCCAACCCCACCCCACCACCACCCCGACCCAACACTGGTTGGATTCACACGTTTCCAAGGCGCCATTATTTTTATCGAGCCGCGCGTGAGTGCAACTTGTCACGTGGCGCAGTGGTTAGAGCACTCGCCTCGTAAGCGAGAGGACCCCGGGTTCGATTCCAGGCCGGGGCGAAACCTTAGGCAGATTTCCTCACTCCACACACGTAGGGATAATAGTTCCTTTTTTAAAAAAAATCCAGTCGCTCAATCCACTGTTTGTGGGGACGCTGCTGTGCGCAATTGGCTGCCGCGTATCACCCACAAATTATAGTCAGTCCACTTCACAGTGTATCCTGTGAAGCGCTTTGAGACGTCTCAACGTTACTCTCTCCATAACATTTTGTGGCGGGGGGGGGGCGGTGGTGGCTGTTTTTTTATGTTAACCGATGATTTACTTAACACGTCCGTCTCCGCATAATTTCATTCATTGCGAGCGAGCAGCCTTTTTATCACCTCTTCATTTAACCCTCTTCACAGTCCAGGCCGTTGGCTGCAGGTAATGACTTTCTCTCTTTCCTCTCTCTTCCCCACCACCCCCCAACTCCTCCCTCCCCCCCCTCCCTCCATTTCCCAAACCTTGCAGCTTACCTATTGTAGACTAGAATCCCGCTCCCCCCCCCCCCCACCACCCGCCCGCCCACTCTGTTTAATCACTTGACCTCCCACCTTACTGTGGCTGTCGGCTTTGTTGGTGTCAGTCCGCTGTAACTGCTCGCTTTTACCCGCCATATTTCTTGTTTGCGGCTCGGTCGAGGGTTTAAAATACAACTCATTTCCGGCGGGGGGTGGGGGGGGTGAAGGGAGGGAGAAAAGAGGAGAGAGAAGATTCCAGGAAGTGCCTCACTCCGACCCACAGGAATTGCCTCACTCATATTTAAGGGAATGTGGCACTTCCTGTGGGTCGGAGTGAAGCACTTCCTGTGTGTCAAAGAGAGGCACTTCCTGTGGGTCGGAGTGAAGCACTTCCTGTAGGTCGGAGTGAGGCACTTCCTGTAGGTCGGAGTGAGGCACTTCCTGTGGGTCGGAGTGAAGCATTTCCTGTGGGTCGGAGTGAAGCACTTCCGGTGGGTCGGAGTGAAGCACTTCCTGTGGGTCGGAGTGAAGCACTTCCTGTGGGTCGGAGTGAAGCACTTCCTGTGGGTGTGGGTCGGAGTGAAGCACTTCCGGTGGGTCGGAGTGAAGCACTTCCGGTGGGTCGGAGCGAAGCACTTCCGGTGGGTCGGAGTGAAGCACTTCCGGGGGGGTCGGAGTGAAGCACTTCCGGCGGGTCGGAGTGAAGCATTTCCGGCGGGTCGGAGTGAAGCATTTCCTGTGGGTCGGAGTGAAGCACTTCCTGTGGGTTGGAGTGAAGCACTTCCTGTGGGTCGGAGTGAAGCACTTCCGGTAGGTCGGAGTGAAGCACTTCCGGTGGGTCGGAGTGAAGCACTTCCTGTGGGTCGGAGTGAAGCACTTCCTGTGGGTCGGAGTGAAGCACTTCCTGTGGGTTGGAGTGAAGCACTTCCTGTGGGTCGGAGTGAAGCACTTCCTGTGGGTCGGAGTGAAGCACGTCCTGTGGGTCGGAGTGAAGCACTTCCTGTGGGTCGGAGTGAGGCATTTCTTGCTTCTTTATTACTCCGACCCACCGGCAGTGCCACGTTCCGACACACAGGAAGTCGGTTCCGATTTGCAAGCCGTGTTGGGAGTGGGCATTCCTGGGAGTCGGGGAGACGGGCTTCCTGAGGGGGTTTCAGAAAGGAGTCTCCACGGTTAAGGAATTCCTGTTCTTAAGGAATCCGGTTACTCGGAGGTTTTATCCTGCCCTGGTTGGCGTTGGCATCCCTCTTGGGTCCAAACGGTACATAGATATCTTTTAAAACTTTGAATTAAATGTCGTCTGAACCTGCCTTCTTGTTGTTGTTGTTTTGATCGCCATGTGATGGACTCTCTGTCTGACCCTATCCTAACTTTTCTGATCTCTTTTNCCCCCCCCCATCACCCCCTCACTCACGCGCACACATACTCACGTGCACACTCCCCACATGCACTCCCGCACACACGCCCACCCCACACGCGCGCACACGCACACACAGGTGTCCTCTTCAGTATCGAAGTCACCTCGACTTTCTTTGCCGTCCGGAACTATTGGCGAGGATTCTTCGCTGCCACGTTCAGTGCCTTTATCTTCCGCGTCCTCGCCGTCTGGAACAAAGATGAAGGTGAGGAGAGGGAGGGGCCGGCGGTGGGTGTGGGGGGGTGGGAAATGGCACACGGACGCCTGTGGCACATGACACGGGATTCATGACTGTTTTATTACACCATAAAGGCAATAATAATCCCGGGTTTGTCCAGCGCCTCTCACTGTCTCTCGGGCAAACAAACAAGGTGAGCGTGTGATTAAGGTAAAGACGCTCCCTCGGGAACATAACCTCCCGTAACCAGCGACGGGGACGAGACATGCCTCAGGTTGAATTTTCTTTTTCGCTCCGAGGGAAGAATTCGGGTGAAGGTCACCAAAAAATACACAGTCACTCCACGGCGCGGTGTATTCTGTGAAGCGCTTTGAGAAGCCTCAACGTGAGACGTGATCGGGCGCTGTATCAAATAATAATCCCTGCATTTGATGCATCGCCTTACCACGTCTTCGAGACGTCTCAAAGCGCAGAATATACCGTAAAGTGAATTGACTGTACAATTGCGGGCGAAACACGGCAGCCAATTGCGCACAGCAGCGTCCCCACACACAGCCGTGGATTGAAATGACCAATTTATTAGGCAAGGATTATTATTATAATAATAATAATAATAAAGAAGGTCGGTTCTTTGATGAAAGCCTCTTTGGCCCATCCGACCTCGTCCTTTCAGAACTCCCACCCTCCGTGTTCTGTCCTCCCCCCAAAACCCCCATCACAGTGTCGATCTGCTTTTTAAACGAATCCTCGTGTCCTGGCCTCAAANCCCCCCCTCCACGCCACCTTCCTGACTTCCAGGGGAGTTGTTTGTTGGCTCGTTGTGATGTTTTCCACGAGCCTCACCTCACGCTCTGCCCTCTCGCAGAAACCATCACCGCCTTGTTCAAAACCCGCTTCCGCCTGGACTTTCCCTTCGATCTCCAGGAGCTTCCGGCCTTCGCCGTCATCGGGTAGGTGTCTGACCCGACTGTCGTCAACGCAGTATCACCGGCGCAGCGCAAGCTACAGGTACACAGCGGCGTTCACACACTCCGGGGGGAGAGCCAGGGGCAGAGCGGCCGAAAGCCAGACGGTGGGGGCGTGTAGGGTGGGGGTGGAAGGAGGGGATGGAAGAAGGATGAAACTTCTTCTCTTTTCGTTAAGAATATTTAACGACTGTCTGAACCGCGCACAGAGAGGGAGAGCTCAGGTTAATGTTTCACATGAAGGACGACACCTCTGACAGTGCAGCCCCCCCACCGCCACCTCTCCCACTCCCCCCCCCCCACATCCCCGGGGGCTGGAACACACGCCCTTCTGACTCGGGAGCTGACGAGCTGGTCAGGCCTGAACATGCATGATGTGGGTCACGGGGAGAGATTAACGGCCTTGTGTGTGCGTGCGTGTGTGTGCGTGGGCGTCTCTCCTAGGATCGCGAGTGGGTTTGGCGGAGCTTTGTTTGTCTACTTCCATCGCAAGATTGTAGCCATCATGAGGAAGCAGAAGAGCATCACCAAGTTCTTAATGAAGAAGTAAGTGCGAGACTTGCACGGAGTTTGATCCACGTGTCTCCCCCCCCACCCCAACAGCACCCCTCCCCGCCCCCCCAACACCACCCCTCCCGCCCCCCCCAACACCACCCCTCCCCCAACACCACCCCTCCCCGCCCCCCAACACCACCCCTCCCCAACACCACCCCTCCCCGCCCCCCCAACACCACCCCTCCCCGCCCCCCCAACACCACCCCTCCCCGCCCCCCCAACACCACCCCTCCCCGCCCCCCAACACCACCCCTCCCCGCCCCCCCCAACACCACCCCTCCCCGCCCCCCCCCAACACCACCCCTCCCGCCCCCCCCAACACCACCCCTCCCCGCCCCCCCCCAACACCACCCCTCCCCGCCCCCCCAACACCACCCCTCCCCGCCCCCCCAACACCACCCCTCCCCGCCCCCCCCAACACCACCCCTCCCCGCCCCCCCAACACCACCCCTCCCCGCCCCCCCAACACCACCCCTCCCCGCCCCCGCCAACACCACCCCTCCCCGAGGAATGAACTTTTAAAAAGAACTTTGGGCTCTTTTCACTTAGTCGCCCCCCAACACCACCAAATTCTTGTCATCTCTCGAGGAATGAACTTTTAAAAAAGAACTTTGGGCTCTTTTCACTTAGTCGCTTCTCGCTTATTGCTCTCCCCATCTTTCTCTCCCTCTCTCTCTGCCTCACCGCCACCCCCACCACCACCTATCTCTTGCTCTCGCACACACACATACTCCCTGTCTCTCTCTCTTAACTCACTCTCTCCCCTCTCTGTGCCCCCCTCTCTTTCTCACACACCTCTCTCTTAACTCTCTCTCTCTCTCTCTTTCTGCCCCCCTCCTCTTTCTGCCCTCCCTCTGCCCCCCCTCTCTACCCGCTTCTCACACACACACACCACTCTGTTGACTCTCGCTGCGCCTATCTCTCACACACGCACACACTCTTAACTCTCTCTCTCCCTCTCTCTCTCCCCCTCTCCCCCAGGCGTCTGCTGTACCCAGCACTGGTGACCTTACTGATCGCCACACTCACCTTCCCCAGAGGGTTTGGGCAGTTCATGGCTGGAGAGGTACGTACGTCCCAACTGACTGCAACTCGTTCACCCTCCCCTCCGTTTTAGCAGAGACTGTCTCCCTGTTCCCTTCCCCCTGCCCCATCCCCCCACCTGTCCGCAGCACCGTGTAAGTCTCTGCGTTCTGTTCGGCCACAGTTGACCCAGAAGGAGACGCTGGTCACTCTATTCGACAACAGGACGTGGGCGAAGCAGGGGATGGCCGAGGAGTTTGACTACGTGGGGATCTCGGAAGTCTGGAAGAACCCGCAAGTCAACGTCTTTGTCACCCTGGTCATCTTCATATTGATGAAGGTAGGAAAACAAAGACACTTATGGAGTCCCCGTAGCTCAGTAGTTAGACCCCTCGCCTCGCAAGCGAGAGGAGCCGGGTTCGATTCCGGGCCGGGCGAAACCTTAGGCAAGTCTCTCTTACTCCACACACCTCTTTTTAGCTAGCAGTAAGTAGGAACCCGGTTGTTAGTCGATTTCCGGGGGTAATAATGTGCGCACATGCACAGAAATATACATGTACACGTGAGCGCGCACACACACACACACACACACACATCAGCCTCCTCAGCAAGTGCATTTTCGAGGATTGGATTACAGCTGTTAGATTTGGCATTGAACGTGGGTCAGAACAAGCTGGTTTTTCTGCTTGGCTGACAGTAAAACGCTGTAGGTTTCTCACCCCATTCTCCTGCTCACTCCCCCACTGGAACTCTCTACTCTAACCCTATTCCCTACTCTCTCTCTCCCTGCCCGGCACTCGCTCCCCCTGTAAAAGGGTATTAGTTGACAAAAAAGCGGGCATTGGGATTAAGACGTCCAATGCCTGCTAATTGACGGAACGCTAATTATATTCTACACTGATGGCCTTCCAGCTTTGATGTGCTCCCTGTAGCTTTCCTCCCAGGCGGTGAATTATGATCTGGATATCTGGCTTCCGGAGCCGGCCAGTGACCCAAATCCCCGCTACCAGCCTGGAGATCCCTGCTCCTCTGTGCCCACATCACACGTTGGTCTTAAGAGCTCGGTTGGGATGTGGGATGTGGGCCTACCACTCACCGTCAGTCAAGGTCGGGAGCAGAGATCACTCACACTCCTAGGCTCATTACATGCTCATTTAAATTAGCCATCAGTCAGCCAACCAGGCCATAACCCTGGAGACCGGAATGATGGACAGAGATGTGGTTAAGGCAGAGAAGGGGAAGGAGAGAGAGAAGGGAGAGAGAAAGAAAGAGGGAGGGAAAGAAGGGGGGAGGGGGAGAAGGAGGGAGAGAGGAGGAGGAGGGAGGGAGGGAGGGAGAGAAGAAGAGAGAGAGAGAAAAAGAGAGGGAGAGAAAGAGAGAGAGAGAGGTGGAGAGGAGGAGAGGGAGGGAGGGGAGAGCACTCCAGAGGGAGCCAGGCTGACACCATCACTGTAGGGATTAACCCTAACCCATTATAGATGATTAAAATGCCAGACAGATTGCCAGTCACAGAGTGAGTGTGGAGCTGAGCCCTGGAGGCTAATTGATTCCTCTCGGGCTGTTTCACCCCCCCCGGTGGAGTCAACTCCCTGCTTTTAATAAGTCCGTCCTTCGGAAGCTCCCGTCTTGTCTGTTCAGGTTGATGTTAAAAATCGCGACACTGTCTGGAAACGGCCTGGGAAACAATCCCCCAAATTACAAAAATAAATAAACCGGTCACTCACTCCGCGGCTGTTTGTGGGACGCTGCTGCGTGCAAACTGGCTGCCGCGTTTCGTCCACAAAACACACACTTTGAGACGTCTCGACGACATGATAAGGAGCTACATCAAGTGCAAGGATTATTATTGATGTTGTTAAGAGTTGGCCTGTCAGTGGTGTCGGAGACAAACAGTCACAGAAGCAGAAGCAGCGAGAGTGTTTAAAATGCACGGTGTGCAGCTTCTGCAGCGAGCTGGCGCATGCAATGCGTCTGAGCCTGAAACCGCAGCGCTGTGAGGAGAGAGGCAGATAGAGAGGGAGGAGATTTTCATCAAGAGCAGAGAGAGAGCGAGAGAGAGAGAGAGAGAGAAAGAAAATCAGCCGGATCAGCTAAGCAGGAACGTAAATGGTTTGTCCAGGTTTACGAGGCATTGGGTTCAATCGCCCTTGAAGAAAGTAAATGACACGGAAGGTGTTTTAAGAGCCCTGTATCTGCTGAGCTCTGTTGAGCTCAGTTAGCCAGCGAACACGCTCTACTCTACAGGGTGTTCACAAAGTCCTGTTACCCCCATGTGTTTTTTCCTACAGTGCGCACTGACCAACAACTGAAACATGTGGCAGAATGATGATGATTGTAACTAGAAAGAACTTAACTGTATTCAGCGCAAGTGTTTAACTGTATTTTGACGTCCAGAGGATCGAGGTGTGTGCGAGTGTGAGAGTTTGTGTGTGTGTGTGTGTGTGTGAGTGAGTGAGTTTGTGTGTGAGTGTGCGTGTGCGTGCGTGAATGCGAGTGTGTGTGAGTGTGAGTGTATGAGTGTGTGAGAGTGTGCATACGTACACACGAGTGTGTGTGAACGTGTGTGTGTGTGAGTGCCAACATTTTCATGGCAGATAATGATCTGTCACAGTTTGATCTTCCATAACATGATTGGAGGATAGTGGAATCTGGAACTCTCTCTCTATCCCCCAAAAGGCTGTTGGATTCATTTGAAATTTTAAGACTGAGGTGGATAGACGTTTGTTAGATCACGGTATCAAGGGATTTGGGGCAAAGGTGGGCAAATTGGGGTTGTGGCATAGATCAGGCCATGATCCTACAGAATGGCAGAACAGGCTCAAGGGACTGAATGGCCTCCTCCTGTTCCTGTGGAGAAAGGAGGAAGTGACTGGTGTCAGACATTACTAAACCCGATTCGTCTGCAACAGAAAATGTGAGTCCCGGAACACTTCACAGTCTGGTCAAGCGCAGCCCTGGAGTGTAGCGTATAGCCCCGGTCACTACCACATAAGGGTGGGGGTGTGAAAGGGGGGTAAAGGCAGTGCAGACGGGAGCAACCAGGATGATGTCCCCCACCCCAGGCTTAGAGACATGAGCTGCAAGTGATGATGAGACACGCAGCAGCTCTTCAGCAATGAAACCACACAGAGTCATGTCACTTTACAGTATATCCTGTGAAGTGCTTTGAGACGTCTTGAGGAGCTTTCATGTCGGGAGGACATCCCGAGGCAAAGGACAGGCAAGAACAAGAGTATTCGGGTTTAGCTATTGTATTCCTCCTTCCTTTTCTGCTTCCAACTGAGCCCTTCACAGGATTCTACCGTCAAATGTAGTGACTGTGCGTTTTGCACTGTACTCCATGAATAGCTAAGAAGTGAAGTGAGCGATTTTTTTTATCGATGGGAGGGGGGGTGGGGGTGGGAATTGAATGTGTGTGTGTTTGTATGTGTGTGTTAGTGTGTGTGTGTGTATTAGTGTATGTATGTGTGTTAGTGTGTTTGCATTAGTGTGCGTGTTAGTGTGCGTGTTTGTATTAGTGTGTGTGTGTGTGTTAGTGTGTTTGTATTAGTGTGTTTGTATTAGGGTGTGTGGGTTTGTGTGTGTTAGTGTGTGTGTCGGTGTTCTGTGTGTGCATACCACACAGCGAGGAGGCCTTTCGACCCTGTGTTAGTATCTCTCTTTGCTCCTCCAATGGCTGACTTGATTACAACAATAAAAGTCCTGACTCGAGCCTCTCTGTTTCTCTTTCTCTTTGTGGCAGTTCTGGATGTCAGCGTTGGCCACCACCATCCCAGTGCCCTGTGGAGCCTTCATGCCTGTCTTCGTAATCGGTGAGAGGAGACAGGGACTCGGGTTTATTTTCCTCGCGGTTCTGGGTGAACGACAGCCACTTTAGCTCAGTTCGATCCCAAGCAATCCACAACCGTTTGTGGGGACGCTGCTGTGCGCAATTGGCTGCCGCGTTTTGCCCACAAATACACTGTCAATTCACTTTACAGTATATCCCATGAAGCGCTTTGAGACATCTCGAAGACGTGATAAGGCGCTGTATCAAATGCGAGGATTATTATTAGTAGTAGTCATCTCATTGATTACTTATTTGTAAATATGTTAAGGAAATTTTTTTTTGCAGGTAAAGTCACAAAAATACACAAATAAATGGTTCAGGCATTTTAATTAAATGTACAACTATTTGTTAAAAATAAATCCATGGAAACACACGTAAATCCATGGTTCAGAAATATTGATCACAGAATATTCATTAACTTCTTGCGACTGACTAACAAACCGGCTATAAATAATAATCCTTGCATTTGATATTGCGCCTTATCACGTCATCGATACATCTCAAAGCGCTTCACAGAATATCTGTAAAGTGGATTTTCTGTGTATTTGTGGGCGAAACGCGTTATGTCAAGAAAACATGAATGCTCATCCCACATAAGTGGGTAGGACTGTATAAATGTGAGCAGTAAAACTCTCCTAAGTCTTTAGCCATCGTACAATTGCCAAAGGCGTACAAGCACCCGAGTGCCATTCAGTTTCCTTCCAAAAAAACCTTAGATTTCTTGTCACCAGTTAATCATTAATCATTCTCCTAACTGATAACAATAACAACTTGCATTTATATAGCGCCCCTCACGCACGATAGCGCCCCCAGAGCGCTCGAAATGCCGCTATCTCATTTGTCGGCTGCATTGGAGTCCGTGGGCGCACGGTAGATTATTAATTAGATTGGATTTTATATAAAACTCTTTTAAAAAAGTTTTTCTGTAAATCTGCGTAACTCGTATTAAATGTTTTTGTTCCCGACTGACGCACCTCGTGGGAGTTTTACTGTATTGTGTGTGTTACAGGGGCTGCTTTTGGCCGGCTGGTGGGAGAGAGTATGGCGGCCTGGTTCCCCGATGGTATCCACGCAGACGGTTCCATTTACCGCATCGTCCCGGGCGGTTACGCGGTTGTAGGTGAGCGGAGTTTCTAACCCACACCCCTCCCACCCGCCCTCCTAACCCGCTGCCACCCTTTCCTCCATGCTAACTCGGCAGTCTGGCTCTCTTTAGCCACCCACTCGCCTCTCAAATGGATCAGGACATTGAGCTCACTATCCAGCGCAGTACTGAGGCAGGGAGGAGGGGGAGAGGGTGGGGGAGATGGTGGGGTGGTGGGCGCAACATTGTCAGACATCCTTCAATCAGGAGAGACGTTAAACCTCCCGTGCTGCTATTTGGAAAGAGACAGGGGTTTCTCTCCCTCATGGTGGCTGAGCCCCAACGCCCCCCCCGTCCCCCCCCAGATAAAATACACACAGGTCCCACCACTTTAATTGGTCGCTCAATCCACGACTGTTTGTGGGTCACCTCTTTGCGCAATTGGCCGCCGCGTTTCGCCCACAAAATACACCAGTCACTCCACTTGACAATATTTCTGTGAGGCGCTTAGAGACATGATATAAAGGCGCTGCTTCAAATGCAAGGATTATTATGATGATGACGATGATTATTATTATACTCTCCCCCCCCAACCCATCTAACCCCCATCCCCCCACCCTCCCCTACTCCCCACGCTCCCCCTACTCCCCACCCACCCCCAACCCCCCCCTCCCCCCTTCCACAGGTGCGGCAGCGTTGTCGGGAGCCGTGACCCACACGATCTCGACCTCTGTCATCGTGTTCGAGCTGACCGGGCAGATCTCCCACATCCTGCCCGTCATGATCGCCGTCATCCTGGCCAACGCCGTGGCCCAGAGCCTCCAGCCGTCCGTCTACGACAGCATCATCCGCATCAAGAAGCTGCCCTACCTGCCCGAGCTGGGCTGGGGTCACCTGGAGTGAGTGCAGGCGGGCGCTGCGCTACCACCACCAGCCACCAGGGTGCACTGCTCCACAGGGAGCGGGAGAGAGCACCTCTGGTTACCTAACAGTCAGTAGGAACCTGGTTGTTAGTCGATGGGCGGATGGCTTTCCGGGGTGGGGTGGGGGTGGGGGTGTGGGGGGAATAATCCCTTCAATCCCCCTGAGACGTCTCAAAGCGCTTCACCGAATACACTGTAAAGTGTATGTTTTGTGGGCCAAACGCGGCAGCCAATTGCGCACAGCAGTGTCCCACAAACAGTCGTGGATTGAGTGACCAAACTCTTATTTTTTGAAGGGATTATTGCCCTCGGAAAAGTAATCCGGGTTCCTACGTACTGATTGGTAAACAGAGGCGTCACGAATTTTCCACACGTTCTGCGTCGTCTTCAGGATTTTTTTTTGAGGGAGTCGGTTGGAATTTGGTGCCGGGGACTCGGGAGTTTGGAGGCAGAAAGAGACGCCCTTCAGAAGGGCAGATAGATCGGCCAATAATTATTGACTCACTCTTAGTGTTGACTCATCTTGGTCAACTTCCAGGCAATCTGTTCAAACATACAATGGGAATGTCAGCATTGTCCCTATTAAACCCTTACGAAGAGGAGTTCGGATTCATCAGAACCTCCCCTCCCTGTTCCCTGCTCTCCTTTACACCCGCTCTGTCCTTGAACTCGGGAATTGTCTTCCTGCGATTTCAACTTTGAGCTTTGAGTCTGTCATCTTCTGCCACGATCCTCTATGGGTCACCATCTGCTTTTATTCTTGCCCTTTTACTGATCCTCTGCCTCTACCCCTCCGCCTCCCACCTCTCTTTAGCTACCTTTGGAGTCCTGTAGCTTAGCGGTTATGTGCGCTCGCCTCGCAAGTGAGAGCACCCGGGCACAGCAAAAACCTTAGGCAGGTTTCCTTACTCCACCCGCCTCTGTTTCCCTAGCAATAAATTGGAACCCGGTCGATCGGCGGATCAGTTTTTCAAGGGTAATAATCCCTTAAAAGAAAGAATGTGGTCGCTCAATCCATGACTGTTTGTGGGGACGCTGCTGTGCGCAGTTGCCAGCCGAGTTTCGCCCACAGAATACACAGTCAATTCATTTTACAGTATATTCTGTGCAGAGCTTTGAGACGTCTCGACGACCTAATAACGCGCTATATCAAATGCAAGGATTATTATTATTAATATTATTATTATTAAGGACCATCTGTGACGGAGGCAGAACATTCCCATTCCTATTGATTGCCCCCCCTCCCTCAACAACAACAACAGCAGCAGCAGCTTGCATTTCACTCAGTTCACATGGGATAGTGACCCGAAGTGCTGCTGTGCTGTTGACACTCCGTGCGAAGAAACGGCGAAGAGCCTTACTGAAGCGTTCCAGATTGGTCCTGATTTCCAATTCCGTTTCAGGAAATATAACGTTCGGGTGGAGGATATAATGGTGAGAGACATCCGCTTTGTGATGGTCAACTGCAAATACAGGGACCTGCAAGATCTCATACAGAGCACCAAACTCAAACACCTGCCCCTTGTTGAGTCATCAGGTGAGAAATGTTATTGCTATTAATAAAGTTATAAATGAGTTATTAGTAATAAGAAAAGTTACGACTCCTATGTTATTCATATATAATCATAAGGCTATTAACTACGGTAAGATATTAATAGCACATAATTAATAATCAGTTATTAATGAATTAATAGTGTTATTAATACTAATAAGTTAACAATAAAGTTATTAATCATGGTAAATATTAGCTTTGAGACGTCCTGCCGTGAAAGGAGCTGTGCTGTGTATATGCTTTGTAAATATTAATAATAGCAATAACGAAATGCATTATTGTTAATAATTCTCGCGTTTGATACAGCGCTGACGATGTCAAAACATCAGTTTCACGGGTTTTATGTAAAAAAAAAGTAACAATAAGGAAAGATTGTCCTTCTCAAAGGTCCATGTTGAGGTATATTGTGGGCACCTCAGACGTCATACTCTCACCTGTGGGGGTCAGAAGGTTGTGGGTTCAATCCCCTGTCTCGGGAGCACTGCATTGTCAGAACGGCCGTCCTTTACATGAGGTGTTAAACCGAGGCTCCGACTAACTCAACAAGGAGAACAACAACAACAATTTACTCTTGTATAGGGCCTTTCACATCGGGAGGACGTTCCAAGGCGCTGGACAGTCAGTGATTTGGACCCGAGCTGGGGGTTGGGATTGAGGAGGGGTGGAGGGCAGCGTGGATAGGGTTTGGAGGGTGACCGAATGCTTTGAAGGAGGCAAGGGAGGGAGCAAGAACAAAAGGACTGTGGGATGGAAGGGAGTTTCTCTCCCAGTGCCCTGGCCAACCATCCCCCAGATAAAAACTTTATCGCTGTTGGCGGGATGTTGCCGTGCGCAAATTGCCTGCCCCGTTAACCTACAAAACCCACAATCACTACACTTTACAGTAAAAACTCTTTAACATCTCGACGCGATAGGCGCTATATCATACACAAGGATTATTTTTGTGTGTTTATTTGCGAGTCTGGTAGTCGCTGTGCTGCTCGGCGTAATATTAATTTAAACTGTATTAATTATTACTCATGCATAAATCATGGCAATTAATAACTGGGCTAAATATAAAACGGATCGTACCATTCCACGACCCCCAGCGTGTCAGTCAGCGCAATCACACACGCAGCCAGTCGCTCGAATCAATAGATATCGAGTCGATATCATGCACCAAGCCCATCCTCTTGCCGCCCCCCCATCTCCGCCCACTAGTCCTTGCAAGGATATTGGATAGGCAGAAACGCTTCTCAATAATTCATAGATACAGCACATTTCGCTTGCTAACAGCTTTCTGGCAACTCACTCCCGGCGATACTAGGAAATCAACAAGCTGAATGCGGGGGAAGATTGTGAATTGTGGCTCCGTCAGCAACTCTGCAGTGTAACAGCCTCTGATTCTCCGGGGTTTTGTTGGCTCCGAGTGATTGATAACTTAACATTTCATAAAAGAAACACACTGTTGGCTATTGCCACCCCTCTCCCTCCCCCTCCCCTCTCCTCTCATCTCCTCCCCTCCCTCCCTCCCTCCCTCCCTCCCCCTCCCCTCTCCTCTCCTCTCCACGCCTGTCCCTTCCCTCCCTCCTCCCCTCCCCCTCTCATCTGCTCCCCTCCTTCCCCCTCCCCTCTCCTCCCCACTTCGTAAACATCGATACAGTAAACCTTACATAAGTCGTATCAGCTGAGTTACGTCTAAACGTTTGAATGGGACTTGGCCAGATCTACGACTCGAGCGATTATGTGACTTATGTAGATCAGACACGCGTAGGTTTTACTGAACTCACTTCGCCGTGGGTTTAAGTGCCCCCTCCCCACACTTCAGGACTTGAGGTCACACAGTTTGGAGTCACATTCCAGAACGGTTACGGGGAGTGTGGGGGGGTGAGGGGAGTTGCTTGCGATAAGCACCGAGTTGGCAGAAGCGACGTCTTTGGGATGAGACGTTAAACCTCACTCCCCAATCTATGCCCTATTCAGGCAGACGTTAAAGATCTCGCGGGGCTGTTGGGAAGAGAGAAGGGACTTTCTCTCTCCCAGTGTCCTGGCCGACAATCCTCCCCCGATAAAATTGTAGGACGTTGCTTTGTGCAAATTGGCTGCTGTTCTTGTCTACAAATTTACAATAAATCCTGTGAAGCGCTTTGAGACGTCGCAAAGATGTGCTAAGGCGCTGTATCAAATGCAAGGATTATTATTCTTATTAGGTTTTAATGCACTGGGAAGTGGGAAGGGGAGAGTAGACATAACTTTACATGTTGTTTGTGTTTGTGGTGGTTGGTGCTTAGATGGATGTTAAAGATTCGGCGGCGATATTCGAAAAGAGAAGGGAGTTCCTCCCTCCATCCCTCCCTCCCTCCCTCCCTCCCCACCTCCCTCCCTCCTCTCTTATTCTCTCACTCCCTCTCTCCCTCCCTCACTCACACTCTCACTCTCCCGGTGTCATGGCCAACAGTCCCTCAGATAAAATCGTGTGGGACATGTGTCTGCTGGGAATACTCAGTGTTTACAGCAGAGGCGTGTGTATTTCTGACTCAATTCAAGACCTTTCTTCAGTTCTTTTTTAATTAACTTCCAAGCTACTCACTGCCCCGTGTAGCGACCTCTATTGCCGCTGCTATTGATCCGCTTGCCTGGCTCATGGCTCGCATTAGTCAAAGCAAACACCGTGGAGGTGTGTCAGCGGCAGAGAGGACCTCTGTGTGTGACTTGCATCCATCGACCCCCGGCCCCGGGCGAGACAGACCCTCGGGGACCAGTTGCCGACCGTTCCCGTTTCCGTTCGTGGCCGGTTTTGCTGCGAATCAGCCTGGCCTCTGGGCAAGAAGATTGTGGGTTCAAGCCCCCACATCAGGACTCGAGCTCGCAGTCCTGGTTTGTGCTTTAATGCAGCGCTGGATGTTGTGGGGGAGTGTGGGGGTGGGAAGTGGAGTGCACACTGTATGGTCAGAGATCCTATCTGCCCCTGCTCTCTGAAACTCCCATCGCAGTGACCCTCCGACTCACCCCCCTCCCTCACAAGAGGTTTGCTCTAAGAACTTCCTCTTTCACTGGGCTTTCGGTCATCATCCCCTCTCCACCCCCACCCCCACCACCCCACTCTGTTCCCACCCCCAGCTCAGGCACCCAGGATTGTTGAGTGCCTTGGACATAATCCCACTGTGAAAGGCGCTGAGTAAATGTACAGTTGTATTGTCGCTGTGGTTGTGGATGTGAACAATGTCGCTGTTTGTGGTGGTTGGTATCCTTCAGACCAAAGTCCCGTCTACCTGTTCAGGTGGACGTTAAAGATAGCATGGCGTTGTTTGGAAAGAGAAAGGAGTTTCGCTCTCCTGAGACGGTGTCCTGGCTGCCGATCCCCCAAATAAATTGTGTTCACTCAATCCACGGCTGTTTGTGGGACGCTTTGTGCTCAATTGAGCTGCCGCGTTTCGCCCACAAAAATACATTTACAGTGTAAATCCTGTGAAGACGCTTTGAGACATCTCAACGATGCGATTAGGTGTTATGTCAAACCAAGGATTATTGTCAGTATTATTATCCTGATGCGATGCACATTCTTGACTTGTCCAGCACGGTTGGAATGTCCTATTAAAGTGAAAGGCTCCATTACAAATGTAATGGGTGGTTGTGGTTGTTGCTGTTGTTGTGGTGGTCGTCTGACCTGCTCTGATCCCTGACCTTCCTCCTCAGAGTCCATGATTCTCTTGGGTTCCATTGAGATGGCCCAGCTACAGGGGCTGCTGGACGACCAGTTCAGCAGGCGACGCAGGCTTGAGTACCTGAAGGAGAGAGCGATCGCCAAGAAGAAAGTGGAAGACGACAGCTACAGGCTTATTGACGAGGAGAATCGCGTCGTCAAGGACAGCGAGGTCAGGATCCAGGTGAGGGACTCTCTTCTTGGACATGAGTAAATACAGGACCAGGAAGAGGCCATTCAACCCCTTGAGCCCGTTCCGCCGTTCTGTTGGGTCACGGCTGATCACTGCTGATCTGTACCTCAACTTCAATCACCCGCCTTTGCCCCATAGCCCTGACCTAACAAAAATCTATCCAAACCAAGCTGAGAATTCCACGCATCCCAGAGATAGATGATTGGAATGGAATACACTCTCTCTCTCTCTCTCTCTCCCCCGTGGAGGGATGCACATCCTGCTTACCTAATTCAGGGAAAGTATTAGGCGCAGGTCGGCAAGAGCCAAGGCTTGGGGGGAGCCCAGAGTGTGCGTTCTGACATTTTCAGATGAAAGCCCATCTGACTCGTGGACTGTGTTTCCTTCTTTCTTTCCCCACCCGCCTCCAGTGCTAGAGACACAGCTGTTGCCTTGGCTCAGGGTACCGGGCTTTGTGGGGGGTGGGGGGGGGGGGGGGGGTGGAGCGGCCAGCCATTACTAAACACTGATCACGTGATTTGCCCTCTCTATTCGCTGAACAGTTATGTTTTTTCTCTGCCTCCCCTCCACCTCTCTTCCCCCCACCCCAAAGATCACCACCGATCAGTCATCGTTACCCCCCTCCCGCAGCGGCTCCCAGAAGCCCCTGAAACCAGCACTTAAACGAGCGTCGAGCAGCTCACCTGATCTTCCCTCAACAGGTGAGTGTACAGGAGAGGGGGGGGGGGGGGGGGGGAGTGTATGGGGAGAGGCTAACAGGACAGTGTATGGGGAGGGATTTAAAGGGAAGTGTATGGGGGGGGACTAATACGTGAGTGTATTGGGAAGGAGAGTGTATAGGGAGGGGCTAACAGGTGAGTGTATGGGGAGGAGAGGGGCAAACAGGTAAGTGTGTGGGGAGAGGCGGGGCTAACCGGGTGAGTATATGGGGGGGAAGGCAAGCAGGTCAGTGCATCTGAGGGAAACGGGTGAGTTTATGGGTGGGGGGGGTTTGTGTGACCTAAATATGGTTGGACGTGATGATAATAATAATAATCCTTGCATTTGATACAGCGCCTTATCATGCCTTCGAGACATCTCAAAGCGCTTCACATGATATACTGTAAAGTGAATTGACCGTGTTATGTTGTGGGCAAAACGCGGCAGCCAATTGCGCACAGCTGTGTCCCACAAGCAGTTGTGGATCGATGACCAAATTTATTATTCTTTTCTTACCTATTTCTCCGGGAAAAGAAATGTTGACCGTACACAGTAATATGGACTGCGCGTAGTTGTGTCTGAAGTGCGGGGGATGTAAACTGCGTGACGTGATGGGGGAGTGGGATGAGCTCAAGCCATCAAAGCTAAAACCACTTCAGATCGGATAAGGCCATTTCGTTTTGTTCTGTCTCTTTTATCTGTCGCTGTTCCTCTGAAGCTAGTGACTAGAATGAGTCAACTTGTGATCAGTCAAATGCACTCGTGTCAAGCACAGCGTCTCCTGATCTCACCGTTCCCTTTTTCTAACTGAAATCAGTTTCGGATTTTTTTGGGTTGAAATTCAATCAAATCATCAGGTTGGCAGATTGCTGTGTGGGGTTGGTGGTGGGGGGCGGAGGGGTGGGGTTGGGGTGGGTGGTATGTGGAGGTGGGAGAGGAGGTGATAATATTTGCTGACTGGCCGAGGATTCTTCAATAAGTTTTGAGTTATAATTTAAATGTCAATTGGTTTTAAAGGCAGCCAAATCCGCTTATATGTGAATCTGATAAAAAGGAACTTTGTCCGTGGGCAGCAAAATGCCGAGTTGCTATTATTTTTCCTGTCTGAGCCGTTTAGTCTGTTTATAAAAGCAGATTCTTTTTTCTGTGCTTGGAAGAGAACCCTTTTACATTAAACCGGCAAAGCTTCTGTTCTGTTACCTCCCACTCCCTTCGGTTCGGGTGAATAATTCCCCCTCCCTTCATCTCCCGTAGCATAGTGGTTAGCCCGCTCGCCTCGCAAGAGAGAGGACCTGGGTTTGATTCCCGGGCGGGGAATAAGGGAATAATATGTGGAATAAGGGAATAATATGTGGAGTAAGGAAACTTGCCTAAGGTTTTGCCCTGCCCTGGAATCGAACCCGGGTCCTCTCGCTTGCGAGGCGACTGCTCTAACCACTGCGCTACGGGACTCCACAAAGAAGAGCTGAGGAGCGTGGGAGCCGGGGTGGGGGCGGTGGGGTGGGGGCGGGAGCAGAGAGAAGAAATGCTTGGTTGAAAAGTTAGGACTTCAGAGATGCGGGAATGAGGAAAGCTCGCGAGTTTTAACTCGCTTGTGTTTTTGTTTGCCCCTCCAGGCCCTCTGGACACGACCAGCATTGCACTGAAAAGCCTATTCTGTGTGAACACCGTGGACGAGCCGGGAGAGGTAGGGAATTGCTATCCGTGCCTCGTCACCACCATTCATTCTTCCCGCTTTCTCCCAAGCCATTCCGAGCCGTGCTCGCACTCACACCCTGGGACAAGGCTCCCGGTCGTAGCCGACATGTGCTTTCTTTATTTCATGTTTTTGTTATTCGCAGCGGAAAGCGATCAGCAAGGCCGCTGTGTTGCAGTTAAACAAACACTTGTTTATGGGTTTAATTCTACCGTACCGTGCGCAGAGTGACGTTTCACAGGCGGCCGAAAGCGTGCTCTGGCACACTCTCTCGTGCTTTTCAATGCGGTTCGAGCTTTCAGCCACTGCACCACCAACCGCTGACATTCCCTGCCTCTGCTCCTCCGCCTCGTACACCCCCACTCTCTGTCCAACTTCAGATCCCACCTTAAAAACCTTCCCTCTTCTACCGTGCCTCTAATGGCCTTTCCCCCTCCCCACTTTCCTCCTATTAACCCACCACTGTGCAGCATTGCCTTATGTGAAGGGCGCTGTGTAAATACAAGACGGTGTTGTTCTTGCCGTCGTCGTTCCTCATCGGCCGTGCCTTCGGTCACCCTCCCACCCTACTTGCCTTTCACCCCTCTTGATTCTAAGTCCCAGCTCAGGAGCAAACCCTTGAGCGTCCAGAGCCTTGGGACGTGAAAGGCGGTAGAGAAACACAAATTGTTGTTGTTTTTGTGGTGCGAGTTGGCGTTAGAGATTCAGCGACACGGAAGGAGCAGGCCCTTCAGTGACTGAGCCCCTTAACGCTGTGTGACACCCGCTTGAATTATGTAACGAATCTTCTGCGGCTCCTGTACATCTGTCACATCGGTTTATCATCTGGCTGGGAAAGTCAAACGAATAAGCGTATTGGTTAGAGAGCTCGCCTCGCAAGCGAGAGGGCTGAGAGAGGAGGAGGTGGGAGGGGGGCAAAAACACAGTGGTTTAACAAGTGTGTGTGGAGGGTGAACGAGAGAGGCTCCCAACTGGAACCAATGCATAGCTACGGGTCTCAATTGTATCCATCTGAGCAAAATCACTGCTCCCTCCGCACCCCCTATATCAAATGCAAAGATTACTATATTATAATAAGACAGTGAAGAGCGCTGTCAGGCTCCGCAGCTGAATAACCCGCGTTGTCCTGTGTTTCTATCGAAGACCGATGCACAGTCAGCGCCGGTAGACAGCAAAAAGTCCAAACGGGTGCGAATTTCTGTAGTGGTAAGTGAGGAACCTGAGCTGCCAGCCAAGCCCAGCACAATCATCACATCTTCAATAACAGCATCGATGTATTCTCTGATCAAAATTCATCTTGATTTTTTTTCACTAGTGCTACTGGGCAATATAATTTATGTAATATATATATGTATTATTATATTCCCCCTCCAAAAAAAATGCATTTCAATCTTACACTTTGAGCTTGGAAGAGAAACAGAGTTTTCAGTTTAATCATCATTTGCGTCTTTCTCTAAACCCTCCTTCATGCATCCCTCTCCGCGCCTCCCCCCCCCACCTCGTGTGTGTGTGTTTTGTGTGTGCGCGTGCGCATGTGTATGTATGTTTCTGTGTGTGTATGTGCGCGTGTGGTTGTTTGTTTGTGTATGTATGTATGTATGTATGTGTGTGTGTATGGTTTTGTGTCTCTGTGTGTGAGTATGAGGAATCCACGCTCTTTCAAGCTCAATGGACAAGCAGATTCCAATCAATATTTCCAGGAAAAATTTCCACTGGTGGGGGTGGGAGGGGGAATCAGCGAGAGTGTGACGCTGCCGTCGGCATCCTTTGGTCACCTCCGAATTCTAAGCTTTGTCCACAAACAGCTGGACATCAAATCAGTAGAATAAAAAGCCAATGCCATCGCCTGCCTTAGTGTCTGTTAGGGTAGCCACCGATCGTAGCCACCGATCGTAGCCATCGATTGTAGCCATCGATTGTAGCCACCGATCGTAGCCATCGATTGTAGCCATCGATTGTAGCCACCGATTGTAGCCACCGATTGTAGCCACCGATTGTAGCCACCGATCGTAGCCATCGATCGTAGCCATCGATCGTAGCCATCGATCGTAGCCACCGATTGTAGCCACCGATTGTAGCCACCGATTGTAGCCACCGATCGTAGCCACCGATCGTAGCCACCGATCGTAGCCACCGATTGTAGCCACCGATTGTAGCCACCGATTGTAGCCATTGATTGTAGCCATTGATTGTAGCCATTGATTGTAGCCATTGATTGTAACCATTGATTGTAGCCATTGATTGTAGCCATTGATTGTAGCCATTGATTGTAGCCATTGATTGTAGCCATTGATTGTAGCCATTGATTGTAGCCATTGATTGTAGCCATTGATTGTAGCCATTGATTGTAGCCATTGATTGTAGCCATTGATTGTAGCCATCTGTATCTGTATCTGTATCTGTATCTGTATTGACTGATTCGCTAGAATCATGCATAGTCCCATCTTCTAAAACCATGCGATCAAAGTAGTCACTAACCTGCCCGCAATCCGCTGTGATTCCCTTTCAGCTCGGCCGTGATGCAACGAGGGGGGAGGGGAGTGGAAAGGGGGTGGGTGGGGGAAAAGGTAGGGGAAAAATAAAAAATAATTACGCAGATTGTTTTTGTGCTCATTGAACGTTGCTGTTTTATTCCGGAATTTTTTTGGGAGATGGAGATTATTTCTCCGGACCACCCCCCCACCCCCCCGACACACATCAGACGAGTGGGTGTAGAGAGACTGACATAGTCTTCTAACAATCCAGGGTGATGATTATCTTTGCAGGTTCAATGTTGATGTATGTATTCAGTGCTACTCCCGCAGAGTCAGCTGAGAGCCCAATTAGTACCTGAGGCTTTCGTCAGCGTCTGCGAGGAGTCATTAGTGTGAGGACGTCATGGCTTTAAAAACACTAACCTCCGTCCCTGGGTCCTGTTTCATTATCACACGGTTGTTTTAGAGCAAAGCAAATGGGGGAGAGGGGGAATAGGGGGGAGGGGACCACGGGAAAACAGCGACAGGAGGGTGGAGGAGAAACAGAGACATCTCCTCCCCCCTTTGACCCTAGGCCTGTGGTCTAAGCCCTCGCTGACGCGATAACCTAGGATCCTAGGAATTACCGTCCATCTTGTTTGCCTTCTACCATCCTGGCAGTAATGGAGATGTTGATGGCAATTATTTCTGAATGAATTAGTCTATAACAGAGTGGGAAGCTTTGGGAACCTAAGATCTGCAGTTGTCTCGTTCTTCCCAGCTGTACCACACTTACTGTGTGTCACGTCTCAAATTACTCATGTATCCCAAGAATATTATTTTTTCACCAAAACTGATTGATACCCACTTCACCTGTGAAACGGCCATATTGTATATTGTGGATGCCACGTAGAATAGAAGGGTTCCAGTGAGAAATCACCATAGGTCGGAAACTGCCGAGTGCGGTAGAGCACAGCCTGATATGAGATGGTAGGGATGGGATGGGTGATGGGGGTAGGGGGAGTGGAATGGGGGTGGGAAGGAATGGGGGGAATCTTATACCGATCCAAAACGGCCGGTGGTCATTATAAAGAACGGGCGAGATGATTTAACGCTTGGTTCTAGTAGATCAACAGGTTCCTTTCTCCTGTCAGGGGAGTTCACTTTTTCACCCTCTCCTTCTCCATTTCCTCTCTCTTTCTCTTCCCTCTCTCTCTCTCTCTCTCCCCCTTCTCTCTCTCTTTCAACCCCCCCTCTCTTCCCTATGTGTCTCTCATCTCTCTCTCTCTCTCTCTCTCTCTCTCTTCCCTATGTGTCTCTCATCTCTCTCTCTCTCTTCCTTCCCTTTCTCTTTCCATCACTTCCTGCACACTGTGGGGCTCGAGAAGCCCAGCGAGAGGCATGTTTTAACCCCAGAGTAACCCTGTTTCTCTCTCTCTGTTTCTCTCCTTTCAGGACCAATATGAGTTGGAGGATGACATGACACCCTCTGAGGTAGGTGGTCAACATGTTCAGTCCAACAGCAGCAACAGCTTGGGACTTTGGCTTTCAGGGTTAGTGGGAGCTAAGATGGGAAGAATCTCTGCACCGCCTTTCCTTTCCCCGCCCCCTCCCTTTTGTCCCCTACTCCCCTTCCTCCCCTCCCCCTTCCCTTTCCCCCCTCTCCTTTCGCCCCTTTCCTTTCCCCCCCCCTCGCCCTCCCCCGAGTGGATCGCTTTGCATTTTGCTCCAAATCGGACGAAGCTCTCCATCAAAAAGTGAGACATGGCAACAACAACATCTTTGCGTTATCCATCGGCTGCCGCGTTTTGCCCACAAAACGTACAGTCAATTCACTTTACAGTATATTCTGTGAAGCGCTTTGAGACGTCTCGAAGACGCTATATCAAATGCAAGGATTAGTATTATATAAGCGCCCCTATGCAGGTAGTGTCCCAGAGCACTTAACTCCCTCACACAGGGTAATAAATCCACAAATTTAAACCCAGCCCCGAGAGAACAAGGGTACCTTAATTCCAGGGAGTTGATGAGTTCAGCTACGTTGAGCTCCTTTTTACATGGGGACAAATAGATACACAACCCGCCTGGCCTTTACTTTAATGTACTTATTGATTTGACATCTCCCGGAATAATTTATCAAAATATTCAAAGAATTTCTGCCCTAAAGCCTCGGACTCGTATTAACTTTAAAGCCATTTAAAATGATTTTCTCAGATGATAAAGGTGCAGTCATGCTCTCTCTCTCTCGCCTTTCTTTTTCTCTCTCCCCTCACCACCCTCTCTCTTTCTCTTTCCCCCCCACCCCTCTCCCCTCTCTGTCTTTCTCTCTCCCCTTTTGCTTTTTCTCACTTTCTCTTTTTCAGAGGAGTATCATGCAAGGATTTTTTTTATATTTTATTTTTTTCTCTTTTCTCTCTCTCTCTCTCTCTCTCTCTCTCTCTGTGTGCCCCGAAGCCATTCCAGTTCCATTACCGAGGATAATTAATTCCACCTCTTTGCTCAGGTCTCTTCAAACTCACAGATTTTGCCTTTAGGTGAATAGCACTGGTTGTTCACTTGTCAGAGAGAGAGAGAGAGAAGCAAGGGGAGAAGAAGTGCAATGGAACTAATACTATATCATTTAGAGACAGCCGTGCGCTGCACTTAATGATGCCTGAGCGAGCAGATGGCAAGTTGAGGCTGGGGGTTTTGTCATTGTCTGCCATGTAATTATAACCCTGGCGTCTCTAATGCATCAGCTCTAAAGTAGTTCACAACGTTCAAGGCTCTTTACCTTCTGATTCTCTCCGTGGCTTGCTGGGCTCGGAACACAAAGCGGTGGTGGGGGTGGGGGGGTGGTGGAAGTATCACCACGTTTGGCTACAAAACCCACAGTCGCTCGTGAAGCGCTTGGAGACGTCCTCCCTACAGCTCTGTATCAGATGCAAGGATTGTTATTGATCGCAACAACAACTTTGCATTTGTATAGCCTGCGCCCTTCATGCAGGATAGCGCCTCACAGCACTACAGTGGAGTGGTCAGAGACGGGGGATTATTGGTTATATTAGCTCAGTCGAGCTCAGCGTGGAATCCTTTAGCGCAGTGGTTAGAGCACCCGGGTTCGATTCCCGGTTAGGGCGAAAGTTTTGGCAAGTCTCCTTACGCCTCTGTTTACCCAGCAGTAAGTAGGGTTGTCTGTCGATTGGCGGATCGCTTTCGGGGGGGTAATAATCGCTTCAAGAAAAAAAAGTCACTCAATCCACGACCGATTTTGAGACACTGCTGTACACAATTGATTGCCGTGTTTCGCCCACAAAAATATACAGTCAATTCACTTTGCAGTATATTCTGTGAAGCGCTTTGAGACGCCTCAATTACGTGATGAGGCGCTATGTCAAATGCAAGGATCATTGTTATTAAGTAAAGTTCTGAAGCCCCTCACAAAATTATAACCACGGCTATAATTTTGTTTCCTCCTCCACAGATAGCCGAATGGGAGGACAAGCAGTTTGATCAACAAGTGGACTTCAGTGACTGTAAGATTGACCCAGCACCTTTCCAGCTGGTCGAATGGACATCTCTACACAAGGCAAGAAACTTTTAGCTTCCGTTCTGTTCTCTTCATTGCTGACCCGTTTATTGTTGGTTTTGTGCTAGCGCTTTTTAAATTCCCTCCATAGCTGTCAAACTACAGGAACCCGTTCAGCCTATTATATGTGTGCCGGTGCTCGCTCCCCCCTGGAGCTCTCTACTCTAACCCCATTACCTGCTCTCTCCCCATCATGTCTGTGCTGGTGCTCAGTCACTCATCTCTCTCCCTGTCCTGTCTATTGAATCACCCGTTCCTCTCTCCTCCTGCAATCTTTAACATTTTCTCCAATTCACTTTCTAATGGCGATACGTACTAAGTTTCCACATCTATTTGTGCTGAGGCATCCACATTCCAGGAACGTCCCGTGTCTCACAAATTGCTCGAATCTCCCTCTGCTCTGGTGAGAATCCTTGTTCAGTGTCCTCATGTTATTGATTTGCCGAGCAGTGGAAATTCCCTCTCTTTACCAAATTAAATTCATTCCACATTCTGAAACTCCATTAATCTGTGTGGAAATTCATGTGTTGAGCCTGGGTCGGTCGGTCGGTCGATCGCTCGCTCGCTCACATAATAAATTACAGTCAGTCACTAAACTTCACAACAATTCTTGAGAAGTGCTTTGAGATGGTTTGAAGCTGCATCAAAGGCGAGGATTATTATCCTAACGAGCGAGCGAGTGAGTACCTGTTGTCGGGTGTTGTAAGAAGCCATTGTCTAACCCACGCGTCTCTCTCCGCAGACTCACACCATGTTCTCTCTGTTGGGGTTGAACCATGCGTACGTCACCAGCATCGGGAGGCTGATAGGCGTGGTGGCTCTTAAAGAGGTGAGTTACGTTGTAACTGCATTGTGCTGGAGAGTTCTGGGCGTCTGAAACAGTCAGAGCCTGTTACTACCACAGTCTGTATGTGACGCACTTCCGTACATCTCGTTGTGTAAGTAGCACACTTATCTTTATTTTTTGAGTCAGCCGAGTGTCTGACACATGAGGAAACCCATCACCATTGCTTAAGAGTATCCAAACCAAGCTCAGAATTCCCTGTATCCCACCACCTACACATGGAAATCCCAGAGATAGATTGTTGGAATGGAATGCGCTCTCTCTCTCTCTCTCTCCCACCCCACCGGAGAGACACTTCCTGCTTAGCTAATTCCGGAAAGTATTAAGCGCAGGTTGGCAGGGGGTGTGTGGGGGGAGCCCAGAGTGTGCGTTGGGGTAACTGCTGGAGTCTGGCCAGCTAAAACCACAGAGCTTGCCTTTGGGAGCGCAGTCTGACGAGCTTTCCCGCTGCTTGTCCGGCTAGGACCAGCTGAGTTTACAGAGGGTTGCAATTGCTAACTTGCCTGACCTTTTATTTTCACCCCTCTCCCACTACTCTCTTCCCTTCTCCGCATTCCCCCTCCGACTCTCTCCCCTTTCCCCACTCCCCTTTTCTCTTCGCTCTCTTCCCCCCCCCCTCTTCCATCCCCCCCGTACAGCTGAGGAAAGCCATTGAGGGCTCGGTCACGTCGAAAGGTGTGAAGATGCGCCCGCCCCTGGCCAGCTTCAGGGAGAGCGCCAACAGCAGCAGCGAGTCAGACACCACAGAGATACACAAGCTGTGGGACCGCAGAGAGAGCCTCACCGTCCCCAGGGAATACAGCCCATCAGACACCGACGACAAGTCACACTGAGCCAGGCTGGTGGGGGGACAGGGCCAGAGGGTGCGGGGTGGGGTTGGGGAAATGGGACGTGGGGCGAACGAGCGAGTGGGATTAAGTTTGGTTGCAGGAGGGGTAGAAATTGGGTCGGAGCAATAACCCGACCAATTTTATTGTGGGGGTTGATGCCCATTGCGCTCGATTTTATAAAAACATGAACAAATGAATAATGGTTAGAACTTGAGGTCCATGAACCTCGATCGCACTGAGTATACTTTTTTTGCTGACGCGTTTTACTGGAATTTTTTTTTCTCTCCCCTCCCACCCTCCTCCCTCTCTTCAGTCTCTTCAGATTGCGTCCAGCAACCGTTGCCTTTTATATGAATGTAAGAGGACAGTCAATTTTATATATATATATATTATATATATATATACGTGTGCAGTTAATCTGGAAACAGATGTGCCCAGTTTTTTTGGAATTCACAAATAATCAATGAGCCTGTGAATATCTCGAATTAATATCCTAACTTTTCTCTCCATGTCCTCCCACGTGCCTCTAAAATGCTCCATTTCAAATGAGATTTCCTAATAGGAAATCGCGACTTGCTCGCTTTGTGTGGGTGAGTGGGGAGGAGGGGGTGGAGGGTGGGATAGGGGAGCGAGGTCTCCTCCTGGTAACCAGGACGACGACATTCCATGGATTTTCCGCTCCGACCTCATCCAATTCCGCCCAATTCCACAGCGTTCCTGCCGAGATAACTCATCAAGAAAATTTGTAAGAGATCTGGTGGTTTAAGGGCTCGGTTTCAGTACCTTGTATCCTGTTGTACCGATGCTGCTACGGGTATTTTGTTTCCCTTTTTTCCCCCCCCTTTCCGGTGTTTTTGCCAGAGAAAAGCTCGGAAAATCTTCCGGGGTGGGGGAGGGAGAAAAAAGTGGAGGTGGCATTACGTGAGGGATCCAATGGGAGTTGTATTGCTTGATGCATGTAGTCTCTGAGCGTAATTCCTGATGAAGTGCTGCACCGAGCGAGGAGGGAGGGAGGGAGGGAGGGAGGACATGGCTGTATGAGTTTGCAGTGGCTTTAATCTTCACACACGCTCACACACACCCAGAACGCTAATTAGTGTGGAGTAGAGAGAATGGCCCATTCTCAGTGATGGGTTTGTGAGGTTTTCAAGCAGTTGTGCGTTATGTTTAGCATTCTTCCAGTCTTGTGAATGGGGTCACTTTCGTAAACGGGGAAGGGGAGGGGAGGGCGCTATTATGCATCATGTGTTAACCGTGTGTAAACCCGGCTGTAATATGCGCCGCGTGCAAAGTGCACATATCATGCGCAGGGAAAAGTACCTTGGTGTGTGTGTGTGAGTGTGTAAAAAAAAAGGACTTGACTGGAAATCGCGAACGAAATCCATCTCGTTAGCTGCTATCGACTTAACTAATGCCACTGAGATTCCCGCGGTTTGCACACGCACACACACACACGCACACGTGTAAAAGGCACAAACGGTCCTTATTTCCTTTTGGAGAGGGAGGGGGAGGAAACATTCCGAAAATAACCCCGACAGTTGCTATATTTTTAATTCCGTCTTTCGATTTATTATAATAATAAAATAAGTGAGTTTGGTGTGATAGTGTAGGTAGGGAATTTGCATCATGGAATGGTAATCATACATACATACAGTAAACTTCTGATAACTCAACATGACCCTGGCTTAACTTGTCACTACCACTTAAGTCGTCATTGCTGTTAATATCCCGGCTGCATTTATTTATGTATTTATACGCACACCTAACTCGCCACTCCTGATAACTCGTCACTGAGCCCTTTTTTTCTGCCCCTCGGGAGTGACGAGTCATCAGTAGTTCACTGTATGTATTGCCAGGAGAAGAGCACGTTGGAGTTTGGTTTGTTTGCTGAATTCCATCAGTCAATCCTTTAGTGTCACTTCAATTCAGAACAAATGATCAATGGTGCTAAAATGTTTGACCAAGTGTTTTAAAAAAATTATACTGTATATGTATATATAAAACGACAGAACAATATTCTGTGGAACAAAATACGAAAAAGCCTTAGTGTTTTTATAACCTGGCGTCTGACAGCTCGCTAAACTTGGTTTGCCATAAATATATATACATATATATTTGTGAATGCGACTGAAATTTGCCTTGGTGTATCACTAGGATAGGGTGTGCGCTTGCTCACTGTGAGACAGCGACTCAGGATTGTGTAACTCAGTGCCTTGTGATAATTATCACAAGAAATGGCGCAAATTCCACCATTTCTCCCTCCTTACCATAATTATTCTCTTTGCACTTGACTCAGAATTTCTCGACAGACACCTGAGTTATTGGGGACTTTTTATTTCCTTCCCATCGCTTTTGAGACCGTTCCGCCCTGAGTTTACGCAAGGACTTAATATCGGAAATTCTTCATTCCGGCTGTGTGGACCCCGGCAATGGTGTTTTGGCAATGTGATCAGCGTGTCGGAAGGTTTCCCACCCCAAAAAAACCAACCACAGTCACTCCACTTTCCAATAGATCCCGTGAAGCGCTTTGGGACATCAGTCTGACGTGAAAAAGGCGCTGGACCAAATGCAAAGATTTATTATTTTAATGATAATTATTATTTTTTGTTGGTGTTGATTCTATGTAATGCCAAAATGCCGTTACGAAATGAGGTACCGATTTTGGGGGCGAACATTTCTTTTAAATCCGGCATTGAGCCCTTTAACCGCAACCTTTTTCAGGCGAGAGCATCACTCTACGCTGGGGTTGCTTGGTCACTTTGGGCAGTCGATTGGCGGATCGCTATTCCAGGGGTAATAATTCCCTTCAAAAATAAATAAATTGAAATAAAAAATAATTTAGTCGCTCAATTCACAACTGTTTGTGGGGACACGGCTTGTGCGCAATTGGCTGCCCACAAAATATACACTCTACCGTATATTCTGTGAACTGCTTTGAGACGTTCTTGAAGACGTGATAAGACGTTTTATCAAATGCAAGGATTATTATTAATATATTCCTCTGGCTCCGATTTGTAGCAAAGGATTCGTGGGGGCCGGGGAGAGCATAAATTTCACTGCCCTTCTTCGGGCATCTCTTTTCTCCCTCCCCCTCCCACCCCCACCCCCCCCACTCTTCTACCCCCTCCCTCTCTAAGGGCTGGATTTCCCAATAATAGTTGCTCCGTGAGCATCAAAGGTGGCAACCATTTTAGGTCTGAAGTGGCACATTCCACCTCCAGGGAGGGAGGCGAGGGGAGGGGGTGCTGCACCGGCATTAAGTAACCCAATACCTGGCTCATTCGTCACACTTTCCAACCCCATTACATACACACACATGTCTTCCCACTTACACACAGGCACATGCATGCACACACTCGTACACAGGCACATATACATACGCACGCATACACGAGCACACACGCACACGCCTTGAACTCAAACGAGGCTGTAACAATCCTGCAAAATGTAACCTGATTGTTTTGTGATTTCCGTGTTGTTTGGTGGTGGTGGGGCAGTGGGAGGGGGTTGTTTAACCCCATGGCCCCTTTTCCTCACCGCGGGGCCACCAAAGCCATTGTACAGACCTGTCCACAGAACAACTCGCAACAGAGTCTGGCGCTGTGGAGAATTGTCCGTCGGACGTATAAATCATGGGACAGCCCCACCCACACTGGTAATCAGAGCCTGAGCGTAACAATTGTGCAATAATAATATTTGTTATATTTTTGTAGGGCACCTTTTTACCGCACATTCCTTCTTACGGAACTAATGGAAGTAATCTCATTTGTTTGTTTTTCCCTGTGATTCTTTGGGGGGAAAAAAAAACATTCTATAGTTGTGTCAATTCATCGAATCTCAAATGTTTTTATTTTTTCCCCCAATTCTCTTTGACCTGTTCTTCTGTTTTTCCGCCCTCCTCCTGCCGCTCCCCCTTAACTGGGATTTCTACGTGCGTGTGCGTGTCTGTGTGTACACGTTATCACTTCACGTCATTTTTTTTTCTGTCTCGGGAAGCGTGATGAGATTTTTTTTAACAAATTTCAGTGTTATTTAAAAAAAAGGATAATTTGTATATCTTGAAAACTGTGAGGAATAATAAAGTTTAACCAATAAATACTGTGCGATAGAGTGTGTTTTTTTTATGTAAGAGGAAATGAGTGAGCATTGTGTAATATTCGCGTACAAACGTGCATTGGGTGGGGGGGATGAAGGGGAAGTGAACGCTGCATTGTTGGAGACGCCGTCCTGTCTGATGAAACTTCAAATTCGAGCTTCCCCCTCTTCCCGTTCAATAACAATAATAATATATTGTGTAATAATATTCCTTGTATTTGATACAGCGTCTTATCACGTCGTTGAGACGTCTCAAAGAGCTTCACAGGATATATCGTAAAGTGGATTTACTGCATATTCTGTGGGCGAAACGCAGCAACCAATTGCGCACAGTAACGTCCCACAAATAGTCGTCGATTGAATGAGCATGTGTTTTTTTTTGAGGGATTATTACCCCTGGAAAGCGATCTGCTAATCTGCTAATAAATTGGTCATTTTCAATCTACGACTGTTTGTGGGACATTGCTGTGCGCAATTGGCTGCCGCGTTCGCCCACAAATATACAGTCAATTCACTTTACAGTGTGTTCTGTGAAGCGCTTTGGGACGTCCTCCCGACGTGAAAAGCGCTATATCAAATGCAACGATTATTATTATTATTATTATAACTACCGTGTTGCTACCTTTTGCTAGTTAAACGGAGTCGTGTGTGTGGAGTAAGGAAACTTGCCTGAGGTTTCACCCCACCTCGGAATCGAACCCGGGACGTCTAACCCCAACACTACAGGACTGTGCAAGGTTTATTATCACGCACACCAGAGGGAAACGGGGAAAACACAATCACAAGCATGGCTCGTGTTTGCTTCGGCTTTGACAGGAAGCCAGCGGCCGGCTCCAGCTCTTTGGCGATGTTGCTGTAAATGTTTCTCGGGAGGATTTGCGGGGAGGGAGGGAAGGGGAGTGAGAGAGGTTTGCTTAGGAGAGCTCTCGCCCAGCGTTAATCCTTTACCATATTGTAGCTGCCGGGCTCTCGTTTAGGAGATAAATTTGGGCCAAGAGTGATGAATGGCAGAAGCTATCTCTTAAGCGTTCTGTGTCAGAAGTGGGTAAACTTGCCTCCGGTCAGATCAAGAAGCTAATCCCTAATTCCGCCCCCACAAAGCGGAAGCACTATAACACGCCAAGACTGCAAGTGGGTTTAAGTGGGGGGGTGGGAGAGAGCAAAGGGATAAACCTGCAGGGCTTTGCTTTGATGTGGAATGTGTGTGAAGAGTTGCTCTGATCAGAGCAATGTGCTTGTCGCTGAAATATTATTCCCAGTCCCTCATTCGCTCATCCTCACGACTGACAGTCATTTATAATAATAATATTAATAATCTTTGCATTTGTTTTAGCGCCTTATCACATCATTGGGACACCTCAAAGCGTGTCCGACAATACAACACCCACTCACCACCCCCCCAGCACCCCATTGGGGTTGAGCCCACAACTCTCTGACTCTCTGACTGCCAACGATTTAATAATAATAGTCCTTGCGTTGGATAGAACGACTTATCACAAACTGTTGTTTTATTGTTCTTCTACAAAGCGACAACAGTGAAGCTTTAAAACAAACACACGACGCGTCCGAGACCTGGATGTATTGAGGGGTTTCGGAGCGGGCAGGCTGGCGGCAGCTACAGTTTGATCTCGCTCCTATAGACGGGCTGCGGAGAGGGTGTTTTCAAAGGGTCTCGTTTGACGCTAACCGTCAGCATCCCCGCGTCTGACAGGCAGCAACTCAGCGTCATAGGGTCAACATCCTCCGGGAGCTGATACTTGTGAGTGAAGACGTTCGACACCGTCCCATCATCGACCACCTATGGGGGTGGCGGAGGGTTGGAGGGAGGGGGGAGGTGGTGGGAGAGAAGAAGGGGATGTGGGGGAAGAGGGAGTGGGGGTGGTGGGGAGAGGAGAGGCGGGTGAGGAGAGGGGCGGAGAGGAGGGGGCAAGAGGAGATTGGGGGCGGGGGTTTTAGAGGGAAGTTGGCGGGAGAGGGCAGATAGGAGGGGGCGGTGGGGGGGAGAGGAGAGAAGAGTAGAGGGGGAGAGGAGAGGAGGGGGGAGGGGGGGCAGAGTAGGGGTGTAAGAGAATGGTGTGAGGGGTGACGGGGCAAGAAGAAGGAGGAAGAACACAAGCATTTTGGATTATAAATTAGAAAATGACAAATCCCACAGAATATCCTGAAAGGTGGTTGGGGTGGAGGGGAAATAAGACCAACACTGTGTAGCAATTGATGGAACAGGCTGAATGGGCTGAATGGCCTCCTCCTATATCCCCGTTTTCTAACGATGCCAAGTAATAATAAGTTCGCAAGTGGAAAAACGTTAAGTGAGACGTAGTGACTTTATGATCATTTTCCCCTCTTGTTGCTTCTGCCCCGTCCTCCCCCCACAGCCCTTCCCGCGCCCACACTCCCCCAACCCCCACCCGCACCCCCTCCCCCACCCCAGGTCAGTCCGATGACCAAAGGTGTGGTTAAAAAGGACGGTCTTGAAGGAGGTAAGGGAGGAGCTCCGAGATGGAGTTCCAGAGGGTGGGGGCAGAAAGGCTGAAGGCCTGACCGTTGATAGTGAGGTGGGCAGGTTACATATTAAAATAATATATTATATATAATTATAACAATTAGGATTATTATATTATAATTATAATAAAGGGTTTGCCGCTGACAAATTATGATTAGAATAATTATATATAATATCCTATCATTAGAATACATTCATAATAATTATGATTGTAATTATAGTATTCATAATTACAAATATAATTGTAATATTACATTTATAAGTTAGATATTCTTTTATATAATATAACACAATGTGCTGACGTGAGGAGCGCACACGTTCGACCGGGGAAGATAGGGATGGTCACAACATTAGCAAACGGGTCGATGGGATTGATCGGGTATCGGCTCGACAACAAATTACACTCATGTCGTGCCTTTCACATCAGAAAGACGTCCCAGTGCGCTGGACAACTAGGGGTTTTGAACCCGATCTAGGAGTTGGGGGTCAGCAGGGGTTAGACACCATGGGAGGGTCCGGGTGAAATGGTGACCGAAGTCACGGTCAAAGAGGAAGGTCTTTAGATGAGACTTGGAGGAGGCAAGAGAGGGGGTGAGGCGGAGGGATTGCGGGATGGAGTCCCTGAGTGTGGGGGCAGCGATGCTTAATGCCCGACCGCCAATGGTGGGGCAGGAAGTGCGAGGGACCTGAAGCAGACCGGTGTCTACCGAGCGGAGGGAGGGACAGGATGATATGGTGTTAGGAGATCGCAGAGGCCAGGAAACGATCGGATGTGTGGAATGCTATGCTCTGCTCGCTATCGAAGCCAGGAGTGTTCATTCCTGTGACACTGACCTTTTCTGCCCGGATGGTGACGTGATAATTGCACATCGTCACCACGACTTCTTCCGGCTCAAACTGACTGACGTCGGCTGAAACCTCGTATCTGTCTCCAACTGTCCGTATGTTTCCTTGGCTCGGAGATCGTCTGACGACGGGACCTGGTGTTTGGAATTATCCATAATCAATCAATAATCGATCAATCAATAATCAAGCAATAATAATCAATCGATCTGAAGGCCGAAACAGAAGCTCTCAAAATATTAACACAAAGACCAAACTGATACTACTCGATATTATGAAAATAAGATCTTAATGAGAAACATTGATCTGAAATGACAAACATGTCATCAAGAACCAGAAACAGGAGACACTGTCCACATGTCCAGCCCGAGCGCAGTTGGAATAATAATAAATTCAATTTACGGTAATTTCACTCTGCGATGCACTTTGATTCATCCCGAACACGTGGTAAGGCGCTATATCAAATGCAAGAATTATTATTGTTCATCTTCAGTGCAACGGATTGTTAATAAGACTATTCAGAAATGGCTTGACAAGAACCTCCTGGAAAAAGTAGCTATTTTAGGAAGCTGAAATTTAAGAAAAGTAACATCTATTCATATGCAACGTGGCAGTGTTATTAGTCTGGCTGACTCATCATTGAAAAACAATTAGAACTTACCTCTATGGAATGCATTAAACTGTAATAACATAACAACAACAATATTAATAATCCTTGCAGTTGATATAGCACCTTATCACGTTGCAGAGGTGTCTCAAAGCGCTTCACAGAACATACTGTAAGGTCAATTGACTGTATTTTGTGGGCGAAACGCGGCAGCCAATTCCCCACAGCAGTGTCCCGCAAACTCTCGTGGATTGAGTGACCAAATTATTATTATTATTTTTTTAAGAGATTATTAGTCGCGGAAAAGCGATCGGCCAACCGACTGACAACCAGGCTCCTTTCCTAATCATTCTTAGGCACGGCGCCTTTTCACGTCGGGAGGCTGTGTCTCAAGGTGCTTGGGGTGGGGGTGGGGGTTGGGGTTGGGGGTGAGGGTTAAGGTGGTGGGGGTTGGGGGGGGTGAGGGGCGAAGGTCAAACCTGTGTATCCGAAGGGCTCGTCTCTGGCAAAGTGTCTGAGAGCCGATCGCTCCACCTCATCCTCGAACAAGTTGCGAGCGGTGTTCAGGTACTGGTCCAGCCCGGATCCCGTCAGAGAACTACGACCATAGTCACTGTAACGCTGGGAGCGGAAGCTAGCGGAGGGGCCGAGCGACGACATTGCGTCAGTGGGAGGTGATGGGGGGGAAGGGGGGTTGTGGGGGGGGGAACTGATGACTGCCGGTTGAGGTGGGGGGTGAGGGTGAGGGTGAGAGAGGGTTGTCCACACAGCTGGACTGGAAGGCGAGAGAAGTGGCAAAGACCCCACAGCCCACAGTCCCTGGCGGACACTATATAAAGCAGTGACATCGCAAGGTCGAGTCACGATAACAGGGAACAAGCACTTGGCGTTCGTGGAATGTGAGATAAGATGGTCTCCCTCCCCTCCACACACCCCCCCCCCCCCCTCAAGCGCCCAGCCCTCCGCACGTCCCAGTGCTAGGATGGACTGAGTGACCCCCACCCCCAGCCCCCTCCCTCCCCCGTGTTTTACGTGGGAAAGATGTTTCAATGTTAAAAAAGATTTTAACTTTTTAAAATCTGAATCCCACCCAGCCTGAAACCACCTTTGCCATCATTATTATTGTTGTTGTTATTATTATTAATATTATAATTATTATTATTATCGTAGCTCAGTGGTTGGAGCCGGTGAGAGAACCCAGATTCAATTCCCAGCAGGGAGAAATGTTGGGCAAGTTTCCTTACTCCACACGACTCTGTTTACTTGGCAGTAAGTAAGATACCGGTTGTTAGTTGATTGGCGGATCGCTCTTCCGGGGGTAATTCTCCTTTGAAAAAAGTAATAATGAATAATATTAATTATTAATAATAATTTGGTCACTCAGTGCACGACTGTTTGTGGGACGCTGCTGTGCGCAATTGGCTGCCACGTTTCACCCACAATATATACACAGTTTATTCTGTTAAGTGCTTTGAGACGTCTCGAAGACGTAATAATAATACGATTACATTTGTATAGCGCCTTGTGCTGTATCAAATATTATTATTATTATATTGTAATCACTTGGGATAACAGTCACATCAACAATACATAATAAAATAACAATAATAATCCCTACAGTCGCACAGTACCTTTCATGTCAGGAGTGTGTCTCAAAGCACTTCACAGGATTAACTGTAAAGTGTAGTGACTGTGTATTTTGTCGACAAACACGGCAGCCAAATTGCACACAGTAACATCTTACAAACAGCCATGAACTGAGTGAACGAATTTTATTAGGGAGTTTTCCAGCCAGGACAGCGGGAGAGAGAAACTCCCTTCTCTTTTCAAATAACCTGTAACGTCCACCTGAACAAGCGCAGACGGGATCTTTCGGTTTAAAATCTCATCCGAAGGACGTACCTCCGACAATGCAGCGCATTCCCCCAACGACAACTTGGCATATATAGCGCCCTCCACACAGGGTTGCGTCTCAGAGCACTTAACAGTGGCGGAGCTTGACTCTGTGGGGGGATAGAGGGGAGGTGGCCGTAAGCACAGTCGAAGAGGTTTTCAGGCAGGGCTTGAAAGAGGGGAGAGAGGGGGCAAGGCGGAGGGATTGAGGGAGAGTGCTCCAGAGTTTTGGGGCTTAACGGCTGAAAGCGCAACCTTCAATGATGGGGCGGAGGGTGCGAGGGACGAGCAGGAGGACGGTGACAGTGGTGCCGGGTGGTGGACTGGGGAGTGAGGAGGTCGGAGAGGGAGGGAGGTGCCAGAGAGTAATAAGCTGCTGTATCAAATTATTATCATTATAAACTATGTTTATTTTACACCCCCACATAAGTCCCCAACACTGCATTGGAGTGGCAGCCAGGACTATGAGTTCCAACCCGTGGGGCTTGAATTAACCATCTCCTCCAACCGAGCCAGGATAAGACACACTAAACCCGAGCAAAGTGCCCACACTGTAATAGCATTGTCGTATCAGCTCATCAGAGCTCAGGCCTATTAAAAGATTATCTTTTACACACTGACTCACCACACATTCCACAGCCAGCTCTCCATACATGGCTCTCTGATTGATTGGGAATTTTCCACAAATGTACATCTGCCTGGTGTGTAACCAGACGATGATTTGTAGATCACATTTTTCACAAAGTAAGAATAAACGTATTAACTTCTTCGTTTTAGTCGACGCTCTTTGGAATGGCTTCACCTCGTTTACAACAATAATAGTTATGATAATAATAATAATGATAATAATCCTCTTGTTGGATACGGAGCCTTTCACATCAGGGAGACGTCTCAAGGCGCTTGACGGGATTTTACTGTAAAGTGTAGTGACCGTGTGTTTTGTGGGCGCACGTGGGAGTCAATTTGCTTACAGCGATGTCCTCACAAACAGCCACAAAGTGAATGGCCTATTTTATCCAGGGGGTGGCTGGGCCAGGTCAACAAGAGAGAGAAAAACTCCCTTCCCTATTCCAAAAGCACTGTGGGATCCTTAATATCCGCCTGAACGGGATCTCAGCAGAGGATGGAGGCAGAAGGGAATGGGTTAAGATACAATCATCTTATGCAAAGCGCTGGAGAAACCTTGTGAAGTATATGGGTTATTGATGAAATGGCGTGGGCTGCGATAGGTATAATTTATGAGTGTGACGATGTGTTGCAATTACTCTTACGTAAATAACTGCCGAAGTTAACTCTGTAATAGCATTTATTTAAAAAAAAGATTGATTGAATATAGTGGAAAATAACATTTTAGGGCAAAGGGGAAAGAGTAAGGGGATGGAATTGGAGGAGAGAGCTCAGGGCAGGGAGATAGGGTGGGGAATGAGAGAGGTGGAGCGAGCAACAGCGAAGACATGACGGGCGGGGTGGGGGGGGATGTGGAAGAGCAAGAGGAATGAGTTTAGAGTAGAGGCTTGTGGTGGGGGGGGTGAACAGTACTCAACATATATCTTGTACTGAACAGTGGAACCAGAAGACACGACCTGCGATTGAAAAGGGGTTAAATTCAGAACAAATCTGCAGGAACGCTACTACTTCCGTGAGCGAGTGGGTAAACTTATGGAACAGAGAGACAGACGGTGGAAGCAGAAAATGTTGATCCTTTCAAGAACAAGTCAGACAGATTTCTGTTACGAAATAATATCTCAGGGATACAATACGTAGTTTGGGACACGACATGTCAAGTGACTTCCAGGCTGGTGGAAGACGAACTAGATGGACCTTGGGTTTTCCTTCGCCCAGCAAATCCTTGTGTTCTTATGGGTATGAGCATCAGAACGGACCTGATGGAGGTGGAAGGAGCGAGGTAATGGGATTAGAGTGGAGAGCGTCAATGGCTAACAAATGCCTGATCCTGTGCTGTAAACCTTTTACGATTCCATGAATATTTATAAACGGATCAAAAATTTCGTAAGCCGCGCTGATCTCCTGAGTGAGCCGGGAACGCTGATTAATCAGGCACTTTCTATGAGCCACACACACACACTCACACACATACAGCATTGGTGAAGTAAAGGCCAGAGTGCTCTTTGACTCTTTAACAACAACAATACAGTACAAAATTACAATTACGCAGCGCCCTTTCACGTCGGGAGGATATCCTAAGGTGTCAGTCAATCGGATTTGGTCCCGAGTGGGGGGGGGGGTGGGGGAGGGAAGGTGCTGCAACTACAACAACAACTTGCATTTTATACAGCAGCCTACAGTGGCAGAGCTTGAAGCCACTCTGAGGGGAGGGAGGAGATGACCATTAGCACAGCTGAAGAGGAAAGTCCTCAGTCATGATCTAAAAGTGAGGAAGGGTGGGGGGGGGGGGGGGGGGGGCAAGGCGGAGGGATTGAGGGAAAGAGTCCCAAAGCTTTGGGGTGTGGTGGCTGAAAGTGCAGCTGGCGATGGTGGAGCGGAGGGGGAGTGGGTTGGAGCCAGTAACCACCTGCTCACCCCTTTAATGTGCTGTGATGGGTGGGAGAGGAGAAGTGGGGGAGTGGGGGGGGGGGCTGCTTGTGGGTGGGTTGGGTTGGAGGGGGTGGGAAGAAGGGGTCATGATGTGCTGTCACTAAAAGTCGTGGCTATTTTGCGGTGTTTCTTAATTGCATCCCTTAATACAAAATCCAGCTCAGGAGTCACTCCTCCTGAGGTTCCCACGGGAACTCTGCTCCCGAAAAAGAGGAGTCTCTCTCCTTCCCCTCCCTCTCTCCCTCCCTCTCTCTCTCTCTCTCTCTCTCTCTATCTCTCTCTCTCTCTCTGTCTCTCCTGGCCAACAATCCCGCCAGAAAAAATCAGTCGTTCCCTCCACGGTCTTTGGTGTGCCGTTGCTGGGTGAAAATCGTCTGCCCCGTTTCGTCTACAAAAGTACGCGGTCGCTGTGCTTCACAGTGAAATAGTGTGAAAAGCAGCAAGTTGCTTTTTGACGAGGTGATAAGGCGCTGTGTCGAAGGCGAGGATTCTTACGTCAAGTCAGCTTCTGGGTTCTTTGACGGATCATCCGTTACCCCAAGGGGCGGCAGTGATTGTGGGTGATGTTTGGAGCAATAGGTGCGAGCGGCCCGTCACCACGAATCGGGAAGTGAAATAGACCAAGCTGCCCTCTGACAGATCAGTGCAAGGCCCCACGCTCTCTCTCTCTCTCTCTCTTGCTCGCTCGCTCGCTCGCGCTCTCCCTCACATCCAGCAAGGCTCAGGCACACTTCTGTTGCAAGCGAGGGGACAATTTGTTGTTGTCGTTATTGACCCAGGTTCGATTCCTGAGCGGGTCAACACGTTGGGCAAGTTTCCGTACTCCCCTCGCCTCTGCTTACCCAGCAGTAAGTAGGAACCCGGTTGTTAGTCGATTGGCCGATCGCTTTTCCGGGTGTAATAATCCCTTCAAAAAATAATAACAATAATATCACTCAACCCACAACTGTTTGGGGGACACTGCTGTCCAGGATTGGCTGCCTCATTTCGCCCACAAAATACACAGTCAATTCACTTCACAGTATATTCTGTGAAGCGCTTTGAGACGTCTCATCAACGTGATAAAGGCGCTGCATCAAATGCACGGATTATTATTATTATTACAGAATTGGACGGGGCAGGGTGTTTGGTGCTGCTGTGCTTTGGCGCCTCGGTTGTCAACTCCGTGGGGGTTTGTATTGGCTCAATTGTGATGTGGAACTTTTATATCACAGCAAATCACACGCCGTTAAGATGCCTCAAAGCGCTT